AAAAATTACGATAAAAAAAATTTGAATGGGAAAAAAATTGGATGGAAAAAAATTTGGACGAAAAAAAATTTTTTGAAAAAAAAATTTTGATGAAAAAAAAAATTTACGAAAAAAAAATTTGGATGGAAAAAAATTTGGATGAAAAAAAAAAATTAAAAAAAAAAAAATTTGATGAAAAAAAATTTTTACGAAAAAAAATTTGATGAAAAAAAATTTTTACGAAAAAAAATTTGGATGGAAAAAAATTTGGATGAAAAAAAATTTGGATGAAAAAAAATTTGGATAAAAAAAATTTTGAAAAAAAAAATTTTGATGAAAAAAAATTTTGATGAAAAAAAAATATGGATGGAAAAAAATTTGGATGAAAAAAAAAAAATTAAAAAAAAAAAAATTTGATGAAAAAAAATTTTTACGAAAAAAAATTTGATGAAAAAAAATTTGGATGAAAAAAAATTGGATGGAAAAAATTTGAAAAAAAAATTACGAAAAAAAAATTACGAAAAAAAAATTTGAATGGAAAAAAAAAAGGTGGAAAAAAAATTGATGGAAAAAAAATTTGATGAAAAAAAATTGGATGAAAAAGAAATTTGATAAAAAAAAAATTATGAAAAAAAATTTGGATGGAAAAAAATTTGGGTGAAAAAAAAAATTTTGATGAAAAAAAATTTTTACGAAAAAAAATTTGAAAAAAAATTTACGAAAAAAAAATTATATGGAAAAAAAATTTTTGAAAAAAAAATTTTGATGAAAAAAAATTTTTACGAAAAAAAATATGGATGGAAAAAAATGTGGATGAAAAAAAATTTGGATGAAAAAAAAAAATAAAAAAAAAAAATTTGATAAAAAAAAATTTTTACGAAAAAAAATTTTTACGAAAAAAAATTTTGATGAAAAAAAATTTTGATGAAAAAAAATTTTTACGAAAAAAAATTTGGATGAAAAAAAATTGGATGGAAAAAATTTGAAAAAAAATTTACGAAAAAAAATTGAATGGAAAAAAATTATATGGAAAAAAAATTTTTGAAAAAAAAATTAAAAAAAAATTTTTACGAAAAAAAATTTGGATGAAAAAAAATTTTTTTAAAAAAAAAATTTTAAGAAAAAAAATTTTTACGAAAAAAAATTTGGATGGAAAAAAATTGAAAAAAAAATTACGAAAAAAAATTTGAATGGGAAAAAAATTGGATGGAAAAAAATTTGATGAAAAAAAATTCGAAGAAAAAAAAATTGGATGAAAAAAAAATTGGATGAAAAAAAAATGGATGGAAAAAATTTTAAGGCAAAAAAAATTTACGAAAAAAATTTGGATGAAAAAAATTGATAAAAAAAAAATTCGAAGAAAAAAAATTATGAAAAAAAATTTGGATGGAAAAAAATTTGAAAGAAAAAAATTTGGATGGAAAAAAATTTGAAAGAAAAAAAATTTTTTGAAAAAAAAATTTGATGAAAAAAAATTTGGATGGAAAAAAATTTGGATGAAAAAAAATTTGGATGAAAAAAAATTTGAAAAAAAAAATTTGATAAAAAAATTTTTAAAAAAAATTTGGATGAAAAAAAATTTTTTGAAAAAAAAATTTGATGAAAAAAAAAATTTTACGAAAAAAAATTTGGATGGAAAAAAATTTGGATGATAAAAAAAATTTGAAAAAAAAAATTTGATAAAAAAAAATTTGAAAAAAAATTTGATGAAAAAAAAATTCGAAGAAAAAAAAATTGGATGAAAAAAATAATGGATGGAAAAAAATTTAAGGCAAAAAAAAATTTACGAAAAAAATTTGGATGAAAAAAATTATGAAAAAAAAAATTAAACTAAAAAAACATTGAAGAAAAAAAAATTCGAAGAAAAAAAATTATGAAAAAAAATTTGGATGGAAAAAAATTTGGATGAAAAAAAATTGAAAAAAAATATTTACGAAAAAAAAATTTGGAGGAAAAAAAATTTTTACGAAAAAAATTTGGATGGAAAAAAATTTGGATAAAAAAAAATTTGAAAAAAAATATTTACGAAAAAAAATTTGGAGGAAAAAAAATTTTTACGAAAAAAATTTAGATGGAAAAAAATTTGGATGAAAAAAAATTTGGATGAAAAAAAATTTGGAAGAGAAAAAATTTTTTGAAAAAAAATTGGATGGAAAAAATTTGAAAAAAAAATTTACGAAAAAAAAATTGAATGGAAAAAAAAAAAAGGATGGAAAAAAAATTTGATGGAAAAAAAATTTGATGAAAAAAAATTCGAAGAAAAAAAAATTGGATGAAAAAGAAATTTGATAAAAAAAAATTATGAAAAAAAATTTGGATGGAAAAAAATTTGGGTGAAAAAAAATTTGGATCAAAAAAAATTTGGATGAAAAAAATTTGGATAAAAAAAAAATCAAAAAAAAAATTTTAAAGAAAAAAAATTTTTACGAAAAAAAATTTGGATGGAAAAAATTTGAAAAAAAATTACGAAAAAAAAATTTGAATGGGAAAAAAATTGGATGAAAAAAAAATTGGAGGAAAAAAAAATTCGAAGAAAAAAAATTGGATGAAAAAAAAAATTGGATGAAAAAAAAATGGATGGAAAAAATTTTAAGGCAAAAAAAAATTTACGAAAAAAATTTGGATGAAAAAAATTATGAAAAAAAAATTAACTAAAAAAATTGATAAAAAAAAATTCGAAGAAAAAAAATTATGAAAAAAAATTTGGATGGAAAAAAATTTGAATGAAAAAAAATTTTTTGAAAAAAAAATTTGATGAAAAAAAATTTTTACGAAAAAAAATTTGGATGGAAAAAAATTTGGATGAAAAAAAATTTGGATGAAAAAAAATTTGAAAAAAAAAATTTGATGAAAAAAAATTTTGAAAAAAAATTTGGAAGAAAAAAAAAATTTTTGAAAAAAAAAATTTGATGAAAAAAAAATTTTATGAAAAAAAATTTGGATGGAAAAAAATTTGGATGAAAAAAAATTTGGATGAAAAAAAATTTGGAAGAAAAAAAATTTTTTGAAAAAAAATTGGATTGAAAAAAAAAATTTACGAAAAAAAAATTGAATGAAAAAAAATTTGATGAAAAAAAAATTTGATGAAAAAAAATTCGAAGAAAAAAAATTGGATGAAAAAGAAATTTGATAAAAAAAAAATTATGAAAAAAAATTTGGATGGAAAAAAATTTGGGTGAAAAAAAATTTGGATGAAAAAAAATTTGGATGAAAAAAATTTGGATAAAAAAAAAATTAAAAAAAAAAAATTTTAAAGAAAAAAAATTTTTATGAAAAAAAATTTTTACGAAAAAAAATTTGGATGGAAAAAAATTTGGATGAAAAAAAATTTGCATGAAAAAAAATTGGATGAAAAAAAAATTTAAAAAAAAAATTTGATGAAAAAAAATTGAAAAAAAATTGGATGGAAAAAAATTTGGATGAAAAAAAATTTTTTGAAAAAAAAAATTTTATGAAAAAAAAAAAATTTTTACGAAAAAAAATTTTTACAAAAAAAAAATTGGATGGAAAAAATTTGAAAAAAAATTTACGAAAAAAAATTGAATAGAAAAAAATTATATGGAAAAAAAATTTTTGAAAAAAAAATTTTGATGAAAAAAAATGTTTACGAAAAAATATATGGATGGAAAAAAATTTTGATGAAAAAAAATTTGCATGAAAAAAAATTGGATGAAAAAAAAAATTTAAAAAAAAAATTTGATGAAAAAAAATTTTTACGAAAAAAAATTTGGATGAAAAAAAAATTTGGATGAAAAAAATTATGAAAAAAAAAATTAACTAAAAAAATTGATAAAAAAAATTCGAAGAAAATAAATTATGAAAAAAAATTTGGATGGAAAAAAATTTGAATGAAAAAAAAATTTTTGAAAATAAAATTTTGATGAAAAAAAATTTTTACGAAAAAAAATTTGGATGAAAAAAAATTTGGATGAAAAAAATTATGAAAAAAAAAAATTAACTAAAAAAATTGATAAAAAAAAATTCGAAGAAAAAAAATTATGAAAAAAAAGTTGGATGGAAAAAAATTTGAATGAAAAAAAAATTTTTTAAAATAAAATTTGATGAAAAAAAATTTTTACGAAAAAAAATTTGGATGGAAAAAAATTTGGATGAAAAAAAATTTGATGAAAAAAAATTTGGATGAAAAAAAATTTGAAAAAAAAAATTTGATAAAAAAAAAATTTGAAAAAAAATTTGATGAAAAAAAAATTCGAAGAAAAAAAAATTGGATGAAAAAAAAAAATTGGATGAAAAAAATAATGGATGGAAAAAATTTTAAGGCAAAAAAAAATTTACGAAAAAAATTTGGATGAAAAAAATTATGAAAAAAAAATTTAAACTAAAAAAACATTGAAGAAAAAAAAATTCGAAGAAAAAAAATTATGAAAAAAAATTTGGATGAAAAAAAATATTTACGAAAAAAAAATTTGGAGGAAAAAAAATTTTTACGAAAAAAATTTGGATGGAAAAAAATTTGGATGGAAAAAAATTTGGATAAAAAAAAATTTGAAAAAAAATATTTACGAAAAAAAATTTGGAGGAAAAAAAATTTGGATGGAAAAAAATTTGGATGAAAAAAAATTTTGATGAAAAAAAATTTTTACGAAAAAAAATTTGGATGGAAAAAATTTGGATGAAAAAAAATTTGGATGAAAAAAATTTGGATGGAAAAAATTTGGATGACAAAAAAATTTGAATGGAAAAAAAATTGGATGGAAAAAAAATTTGATGAAAAATAAATTGAATGAAAATAATTTGGACGAAAAAAAATTTGGATGCGATTGCGAAAAAAATTAAAAGAAAAAAAATTTATAAAAAAAATTTGATAAAAAAAATTTGGATGAAAAAATTTGGACGAAAAAAATTTAAAAGAAAAAAAAATCGATGAAAAAAATTTCGAAGAAAAAAAATTGAAAAAAAATTGAATAAAAAAAATAATGAAAAAAAAATTGGATGAAAAAAATTTGGACGAAACAAAAATGTTGAATTTAAATAACGATAAATAAACAGGCATTACTTACCATTGCAGCTTCCTTCCAGAGTGTTTCTTTTTATAAAAATCTTCGACTTCCGGTATATAATCTTCCAATTCGACCGGCAAACTGACGGTGACTCGTTCCGAACCTCTCGCCCAAGCTCCCGCGTTCAAAATTTTAATGTTGATGGCGTCGTGTCGAGTCGTCGACGTTCGGAATTGACCGTTGAGGTCTTCGCTGACTTTAATATCTTGAAACATTCGCGCCAATTTATTCACGTAATCGGCCGGCATACCGACTTCTCTTAACCATTCTACCATGTCTTCTTCTTTCTCGCTGTCCGCACTGAAATACAAAAATAAAAAATAATATAATAATAAAATATCCCAAATGTCCAAAATATCCCAAATATCTAAAATGTCCCAATTATCCTAAACGCACAAAATATCTTAAATGTCCCAAATATCCAAAATGACCCAAATATCACAAATGGCCCAAATATCCAAAATATCTTAAATGTCCCAAATATCTTAAATATTCCAAGTATCCCAAATGACCCAAATATCCCAAATGACCCAAATATCCCAAATGACCCAAATATCCCAAATGACCCAAATATCCCAAATGACCCAAATATCCTAACTGTCCAAAATGTCCCAAATATCCTAAATGCCATAAGTACCCAAACTATCTTAAATGTCTCAAATATCTTAACTATCCCAAAAGACCCAAATATCCTAAATGTCCCAAATAGCCCAAATGACCAAAATGTAACAAATATCCAAAATGTCCCAGATAACCTTATTGTCCGAAATATCGTGATTGTTTCAAATATCCTTATTGTTACAAGTATAATAAATATTCTCAAATATCATTAATGCTTCAAATACCGTACATTCCCTAATTACCTTTGACATTGGATCTAAAATTGTTCACTAAAGACCAAAATCTCCCAAGAACGTGATATTTAATATGATCAAAGAATCCAAATAAAAAAATTCTCACCTGGCATCTAAAATTAATCTCCTCGTCAAATGCGCCTTGTGATACCGCATAAATACGTCCTTATTTGACACGTACTTCAAAACTAAAAGTACATCTTTTAACCTAGATTCGATTTCCTCACTAGTCAGCCTTTTTGATAACGGCGTCCTCCTCAACAACATATCGCAATAGTTCGCCAACAATTCCGGACATTTACTTTCGGGGGCGACGGTTTTACCACCCGGGTTCCTCCCTGTACTTAATTCTAACCTTAAAAAAAACAATCACGATGAAAATATATTTACAAAATATAACGAAAATGAATACCGATTACCTAAAAACTGTTGTATCGTTAACCACAGCCTTGAAAGCTTTATCTCTGGCAGTCAGGAACCTCGGATCGTCTGAAAAGGCGTCGTGTACCAGCTTGCTGAACTTTCTGAACAGATCTAACAACCTCTCGACGTATTTTTCTGAATCCTGAGTTATGATATCGGCGGCGGCTACCATATCGGCAAGACCAGCTTGAGTTATATGGTTTTCCAGTTCTCTCAACATCGGTTGGACACCTTCAGCCACTCGTTCAAGTAACCTAATGCAGATCATGATTATTTCATATGTTATTTAATTCAGTGGTAGCTACAAACATGACGAAAGAGAAAGGTACTTTTAGTTCAATCTTAACAAGAACATTACTAAACAATTCAAAAAGAATTAACAAGTAAGTGTTAAAAACAAAGGTATTAAAAAACTAAACTATTAAAAAACCATTAACAAACTATTAAAAGACTATTAAAAAATAATTAATAAAAACCACCTATTAAAAAACAAATGTCAAAAAACAAGTGTCAAAAAATAAGTTTTAAAAAACAAGTGTTAAAAAAACAAGTATTAAAAAACAAGTGTGAAATAATAAGTATTAAAAACCAACTATTAAAAAGCTACTGTCAAAAAACTACTTGTAAAAACAACTATTAAGAAAGAAACCATTAAAAACAACTATTATAAAGCAACTATTGAACTATTAAAAAACAACTACTTAACAACTATTCAAAAATAACTATTAAAAAGTAACTATTAAAACACAACAATTAAACAACAACTATTAAAAAACAACTATTAAACAGAACTATTAAAAAACACTATTAAAACCAATTATTAAAAACCACTATTTATAAAATATTATAAAACAAGTATTACAAAACTACTTTTAAAAAACAAACTACTATTAAAAAGTAACTATTAAAAAACAACTATTAAAAAAATATTTAACAGCAACTAATAAAAAATAACTATTAAAAAGCAACTATTAAAAACCATTTAAAAACAACTATTAAAAAACCATTTTAAACTATTGAAAAACCATTATTAAAGAACCGCTTTTAAAAAAACAATAATTATAAACAGTAATTTAAAAACAACTAAATAAAATTATTAAAAAAACTATTAAAAAACGATTAAAAACTATTAAAATACGATTAAAAGACGATTAAAAGACGATTAAAAGACAATTAAAAGACGATTAAAAGACGATTAAAAGACGATTAAAAGACGATTAAAAGACGATTAAAAATTATTACTATTAAAAACTATTTCAAAACTAAAAAAAAAAATTAAAAAACTATTAAAACTGTTAAAAAAACTATTCCGTACAATGGATGGAATAAAACAACATTAAGTAATTCTTGCTCTTTCGTCATGTTTAAATTAGCGCTGCAAAACAACGTTTAAACATTGTTTAAAAGTGTTAATGATTTTGGTGAACAGTACCATATTTTTTCTACGACCTATGATTTTTATGAGAAACACGGGCGTGTGATATGACAAATAAAACCGTAGAACGTGAGGATCATGTATTTGATGTCAGCTTTGATAAGAGTTCTTTGGAACACCGAGAAATCTCGGAGAAAAGGTTTAAAATGCTTACAAACCACAATAGAATATTTAAATCATAGGCATAGTATTCAAATCTTTAAAATAGTAGATACCTAACTTTTTCTACGACCTACGATATTAATGAGAAACTTAATAGGAATATGGGCGTGTGATATGTTAAATGAAACGGTAGAACTGGAGATTACATATTATATGCGAATTTTTATCAGACTCTTTTGGTATAGCCAGAAATCTATGAGAAACGCATGCAAGCCAAAAGCGAATGTTTAATTCGTAATCATGGTGCTACATAGTATTGAAATTTAAAAAATAAGACATACCATATTTTTTCTACGACCTACAATATTAGTGAGAAATTTAATAGAAACATGGGCGTGTGATATGTCAAATAAAATGGTGGAACGTAAGGATCACGTATTTGATGAGAGCATGATAAGAGTTCTTTGGTACAGTAAGAAATCGATGAGAAAACACTTAAAATGTATGCAATCCAAAACAGAATGTTTAAATTGTAATCATAGTGCTCCACAGTATTCAAATCTTTAAAAATCTGACATACCATATTTTTTCTACGACCTACGATTTTATTAGGAAACGTAATGGAAATATGGGCGTGTGTTATGTCAAATAAAACGGTGGAACGTAAGAATCACGTATTTGATGAGAGTTTTGATAAGAGTTCTTTGGTACAGTAAGAAATCGATGAGAAAACACTTAAAATGTATGCAATCCAAAACAGAATGTTTAATTTGTAATCATAGTGCTCCACAGTATTCAAATCTTTAAAATCTGACACCATATTTTTTCTACGACCTACAATTTTAATGAGAAACTTAATAGGAACATGGGCGTGTGATATATCAAATAAAACGGTGGAACGTAAGGATCACGTATTTCATGACAGCTTTGATAAAAGTTCTTTGGTAGAGTCAGAAATCGATAAGAAAACACTTAAAATGCATGCAAGCCAAAAAAGAATGTTTAATTTGTAAACATAGTGCTCCATAGTATTCAAATCTTTAAATTCTGACATACTATATTTTTTCTACGACCTATGGTTTTATTAGGAAAAGTAATGGAAATCGATTATAAAACGAACGTTTCTCACCTAAACATCAACTGCAACCTCTCCGTTTCGCCGGCCTTGATCAACGGCGCGCATTCGGCCAACAATACGGGCAACGGATTTCCAACTAAAACTTTAACACAGCATTGGATCACTCCGTTACTACCGGCTTCTAAGTATCTCTGAGCTCTGGCCTCCTCCTCTCGCAATTTCGAATCCGCGTACTTCATGTAAGCTTGCACTCCATTGGCGGCTAATTGCTCCGGCGCGTTCATACGATAAAACATAACCGTACTCTGTATGTAAGCTGCTTCGAAATTTTCTCTGTAGATTTGTAGACGGTCCTCCGTATTTGAACAGAGGTTGACGTACGATTCCCTAACACCTAAACAAATTTATAATAATAATAAAATGTTTGCAATAATATGTTATATTAGTAATGAGGTAGTTTGAGTTCCAATGACAAAAATAGAGGTTACGTGTATTTTGTCAGTATTGTCTGCCTGTCAGTATTGTCTACCTGTCAGTATTATCTGCCTGTCAGTATTTTATGTCTATCAGTATTGTCAGCCTGTCATTATTATTTGTCAGTATATTTGTCAGTATATTTGTCAGTATATTTGTCAGTATATTTGTCAGTATATTTGTCAGTATCGTGAGTAGTCTGTTAGTATTGTCAGTCTGTCATTATTGTCTGTTAGTCAGTATTGTATGCCTGTCAGTATTATCTGTCTGTAAGTATTATCTGTCTGTAAGTATTATGTGTTTGTCAGGATCATGGGTCATAAGTAGTCTGTTTGTATTGTCCGTCTGTCAGTATTGTCTGTTTGTCATTATTGTCTGTTTGTCACTATTGTCTGTTAGTCAGTATTGTCTGTTAGCCAGTATTGTCTGTTTGTCATTATTGTCTGTTTGTCATTATTGTCTGTTTGTCATTATTGTCTGTTAGTCAGTATTGTCTGTTTGTCAGTATTTTCTAGCTGTTAATATTGTCTCAGTTCTGTCAGTTTCTCAGTATTGTCTGTATATTCTTTTTATCAGTATTGTCTGTCTGTCAGTATTATCTATCTGTCAAAATTATCTGTCTGACAGTATTATCTGTTTGTCAGCCTTATCCATTTGTCAGTATTGTGTATCATCTGTTAGTATTGTCCGTCTGTCAGTATTGTCCGTCTGTCAGTATTGTTAGTCCAGTCAGTATGTCAATACTGTCCGTATTTTATGTGTTAATATTGTTTATCTGTCAGTATTGTCTGTATGTCAGTATTGTATGTATGTCAGTATTGTATGTATATCTAATAGTATATGTAGTATGTGTCTGTCATTAAATGTCTATCAGTATCTGTCTGCCTGTTGAGAATAAAGTGTAGATTGAACAGAAATACTCAATATTAATTGCATCTTTAATTTTTTGTATCCACCAGAAAAAAAGAAAACCATATATTATATTTTAAAACCACTATGGTAAAAAACACTATTGCACTTGGCTGATTTTTTGATTCAATACTAAATTTAGACAATTTTGAACATGATACACTCTTGATACTTCTATTTACTTCTATTTACTTCTATTTACTTCTATTTACTTCTATTTACTTCTATTTACTTCTATTTACTTCTATTTACTTCTATTTACTTCTATTTACTTCTATTTACTTCTATTTACTTCTATTTACTTCTATTTACTTCTTTTTACTTCTATTTACTTCTATTTACTTCTATTTACTTCTATTTACTTCTATTTACTTCTATTTACTTCTATTTACTTCTATTTACTTCTATTTACTTCTATTTACTTCTATTTACTTCTATGTACTTCTATTTACTTCTATTTACTTCTATTTACTTCTATTTACTTCTATTTACTTCTATTTACTTCTATTTACTTCTATTTACTTCTATTTACTTCTATTTACTTCTATTTACTTCTATTTACTTCTATTTACTTCTATTTACTTCTATTTACTTCTATTTACTTCTATTTACTTCTATTTACTTCTATTTACTTCTATTTACTTCTATTTACTTCTATTTACTTCTATTTACTTCTATTTACTTCTATTTACTTCTATTTACTTCTATTTACTTCTATTTACTTCTATTTACTTCTATTTACTTCTATTTACTTCTATTTACTTCTATTTACTTCTATTTACTTCTATTTACTTCTATTTACTTCTATTTACTTCTATTTACTTCTATTTACTTCTATTTACTTCTATTTACTTCTATTTACTTCTATTTACTTCTATTTACTTCTATTTACTTTTATTTACTTCTGTCTAACTTTTATTAACTTAACTTTAACTCTTATTAACGTTTATTGTCTTTTATTAACTTTAACTAATTTTTATTAACTTAACTTTTATTAACTTTACCTTTCATAAATTTTTATTAACTTTTATTAGCTTTTATTAACTTTAATTAACTTTTATTAACTCAACTTTTATTAACTTTTTTTTTTATTGACTTAACTTTTATTAACTTTTATTAACTTACTTTAAAATTTTATTAACTTACTTTTAACTTTTATTAAAACTTTTATTAACTTAACTTTTATTTACTTAACTTTTATTAACTTAACTTTAACTTTTATTAACTTTTATTAATTTTTATTAACTTAACTTTTATTAACTTTTATTAACTTTTATTAACTTTTATTAACTTTTATTAACTTTTATTAACTTTTATTAACTTTTATTAACTTTTATTAACTTTTATTAACTTTTATTAACTTTTATTAACTTTTATTAACTTTTATTAACTTTTATTAACTTTTATTAACTTTTATTAACTTTTATTAACTTTTATTAACTTTTATTAACTTTTATTAACTTTTATTAACTTTTATTAACTTTTATTAACTTTTATTAACTTTTATTAACTTTTATTAACTTTTATTAACTTTTATTAACTTTTATTAACTTTTATTAACTTTTATTAACTTTTATTAACTTTTATTAACTTTTATTAACTTTTATTAACTTTTATTAACTTTTATTAACTTTTATTAACTTTTATTAACTTTTATTAACTTTTATTAACTTTTATTAACTTTTATTAACTTTTATTAACTTTTATTAACTTTTATTAACTTTTATTAACTTTTATTAACTTTTATTAACTTAACTTTTATTAACTTTTATTAACTTTTATTAACTTAACTTTTATTAACTTTTATTAACTTTTATTAACTTTTATTAACTTTTATTAACTTTTATTAATTTTTATTAACTTTTATTGACTTATTTATTAACTTTTATGTACATATATTTTAATACCACCCTATATTAAAAAATGTCACCTGGATATAAACGTGTTAAATGTGCAAGTATTTATCAAAAAAAAATAAATTAAAAAAAATTACATACCTATTACTAATTGTGAATCAAAAGCCTCTCCATTTCGTTCGGCATGCACCAATTTCATAGCACTCTCTTGTAACCTATGCTTAATATCACTGAATATACTCTCGTTCCACGAATCTAGCATCAATTTTCTCACTATGCTTTCTTCTCCCGGAGTTTTTTTCCCGCTATTATTCTGTACAGTTGAATTATTTGATGCAGGTTTACCCTAAAATACAAAATCGTGCTGTTGTAGGTATTCAGCAACAAATAAAAATGAAAAAATCATGTGAAAATTAGTGTATTTAAAAAAAAAGGCAAATAGTGTACAAATGTTACCTTAAAAAGGTCTTCAAAATATCAAAAACACCTTAGAAAACCTTAAAAAACTATTTAAGTCTTTTAAATTGTATTTTTTGTTATATTTATTAATTATAATTTTTGACATATGAACTAAAAACCTTGTAAAAACCATTAAAAACTTAAAAATGGCTTTAAAAACTTTCAACAAACTAAATAACTTATGTATGTACCTAGTTATATTTTTTTAATTCTTTGATTGCAATGAACACACCGAAAAATTTACTCACCTGTAAACTACTCTCCAGTTGTCTAAAAGGAGTTGGCAAATAATTACACTGTGTAAAAAATTTCCTCCATTCCGCTATGTAAGCCTTCAATAAAGCCTCCTCTTGCCTGTGAGCCAACACCCTAGTCTGCGCCTGCTTGATAAATTGCACTATGTCATCGTGTAAGTGGTCTTTGAGTTTTGCTGGACCCTTTTCGTCCCAAAGACACACCAAATGGACATCGTAAAACAGTTCTTGCCATTCTGCCGGCGAAACGGGTTCTTGTTTTAACAGTTTGAGAACAATAGGTCCCATATAAGGCCATTTATCTTCGAACTTTAATTGTCCTTTTTCCTGTAATTAACAAACTAGATAAAAATGGCATCAAAAACTCCTTAAAAAACCTCTTAAAGATGTTTAAAAATATTAAAATGACTTTTGAAAACCTATAAAATATTTAAAAACATTAAAAATCATTTAAACCCCATGCTAGGCTTTAAAGATTAACATTCTTTTGAAAATAAATCACAATGAGTTGCCATATTCAATGATCTGTTAAAAGAATTTGACCATGTAAGTCGCACATTATTAATTAACAAACTAGATAAAGATGGCATCAAAAACTCCTTAAAAAACCTCATAAAGATGTTTAAAAATATTAAAATGACCTTTGAAAACCTATAAAATATTTAAAAACATTAAAACTCCTTTAAACCCCATGCTAGGCTTTAAAGATTATCATTCTTTTGAAAATAAATCACAATGAGTTGCCATATTCACTGATCTGTTTAAAGCATTTGACCATGTAAGTCACACATTATTAATTAACAAACTAGATAAAGATGGCATCAAAAACTCCTTAAAAAACCTCATAAAGATGTTTAAAAATATTAAAATGACCTTTGAAAACCTATAAAATATTTAAAAACATTAAAAATCCTTTAAACCCCATGCTAGGCTTTAAATATTAACATTCTTTTGAAAATAAATCACAATGAGTTGCCATATTCACTGATCTGTTTAAAGAATTTGACCATGTAAGTCACACATTATTAATTAACAAACTAGATAAAGATGGCATCAAAAACTCCTTAAAAAACCTCTTAAAGATGTTTAAAAATATTAAAATGACCTTTGAAAACCTATAAAATATTTAAAAACATTAAAAATTCTTTAAACCCCATGCTAGGCTTTAAAGATTAACATTCTTTTGAGAATAAATCACAATGAGTTGCCATATTCACTGATCTGTTTAAAGCATTTGACCATGTAAGTCACACATTATTAATTAACAAACTAGATAAAGATGGCATCAAAAACTCCTTAAAAAACCTCTTAAAGATGTTTAAAAATATTAAAATGACCTTTGAAAACCTATAAAATATTTAAAAACATTAAAAATCCTTTAAACCCCATGCTAGGCTTTAAATATTAACATTCTTTTGAAAATAAATCACAATGAGTTGCCATATTCACTGATCTGTTTAAAGCATTTGACCATGTAAGTCACACATTATTAATTAACAAACTAGATAAAGATGGCATCAAAAACTCCTTAAAAAACCTCTAAAAGATGTTTAAAAATATTAAAATTACCTTTGAAAACCTATAAAATATTTAAAAACATTAAAAATTCTTTAAACCCCATGCTAGGCTTTAAAGATTAACATTCTTTTGAGAATAAATCACAATGAGTTGCCATATTCACTGATCTGTTTAAAGCATTTGACCATGTAAGTCACACATTATTAATTAACAAACTAGATAAAGATGGCATCAAAAACTCCATAAAAAACCTCTTAAAGATGTTTAAAAATATTAAAATGACCTTTGAAAACCTATAAAATATTTAAAAACATTAAAAATCCTTTAAACCCCATGATAGGCTTTAAAGATTATCATTCTTTTGAAAATAAATCACAATGAGTTGCCATATTCACTGATCTGTTTAAAGCATTTGACCATGTAAGTCACACATTATTAATTAACAAACTAGATAAATATGGCATCAAAAACTCCTTAAAAAACCTCATAAAGATGTTTAAAAATATTAAAATGACCTTGGAAAACCTATAAAATATTTAAAAACATTAAAAATCCTTTAAACCCCATGCTGGGCTTTAAAGATTAACATTCTTTTGAAAATAAATCACAATGAGTTGCCATATTCAATGATCTGTTAAAAGCATTTGACCATGTAAGTCGCACATTATTAATTAACAAACTAGATAAAGATGGCATCAAAAACTCCTTAAAAAAACCTCATAAAGATGTTTAAAAATATTAAAATGACCTTTGAAAACCTATAAAATATTTAAAAACATTAAAAATCCTTTAAACCCCATGCTAGGCTTTCAAGATTAACATTCTTTTGAAAATAAATCACAATGAGTTGCCATATTCACTGATCTGTTTACAGCATTTGACCATGTAAGTCACACATTATTAATTAACAAACTAGATAAAGATGGCATCAAAAACTCCTTAAAAAACCTATTAAAGATGTTTAAAAATATTAAAATGACCTTTGAAAACCTACAAAATATTTAAAAATGTTAAAAATCCTTTAAACCCCATGCTGGGCTTTAAAGATTAACATTCTTTTGAGAATAAATCACAATGAGTTGCCATATTCACTGATCTGTTTAAAGCATTTGACCATGTAAGTCGCACATTATTAATTGACAAACTAGATAAAGATGGTATCAAAAACACCTTAAAAAACCTCATAAAGATGTTTAAAAATATTAAAATGACCTTTGAAAACCTATAAAATATTTAAAAACATTAAAAATCCTTTAAACCCCATGCTGGGCTTTAAAGATTAACATTCTTTTGAGAATAAATCACAATGAGTTGCCATATTCACTGATCTGTGTAAAGCATTTGACCATGTAAGTCACACTTTATTAATTAACAAACTAGATAAAGATGGCATCAAAAACTTCTTAAAAAACCTCATAAAGATGTTTAAAAATATTAAAATGACCTTTGAAAACCTATAAAATATTTAAAAACATTAAAAATCCTTTAAACCCCATGCTGGGCTTTAAAGATTAACATTCTTTTGAGAATAAATCACAATGAGTTGCCATATTCACTGATCTGTTTAAAGCATTTGACCATGTAAGTCACACATTATTAATTAACAAACTAGATAAAGATGGCATCAAAAACTCCTTAAAAAACCTCTTAAAGATGTTTAAAAATATTAAAATGACCTTTGAAAACCTATAAAATATTTAAAAACATTAAAAATCCTTTAAACCCCATGCTGGGCTTTAAAGATTAACATTCTTTTGAGAATAAATCACAATGAGTTGCCATATTCACTGATCTGTTTAAAGCATTTGACCATGTAAGTCACACATTATTAATTAACAAACTAGATAAAGATGGCATCAAAAACTCCTTAAAAAACCTCTTAAAGATGTTTAAAAATATTAAAATGACCTTTGAAAACCTATAAAATATTTAAAAACATTAAAAATTCTTTAAACCCCATGCTAGGCTTTAAAGATTAACATTCTTTTGAGAATAAATCACAATGAGTTGCCATATTCACTGATCTGTTTAAAGCATTTGACCATGTAAGTCACACATTATTAATTAACAAACTAGATAAAGATGGCATCAAAAACTCCTTAAAAAACCTCTTAAAGATGTTTAAAAATATTAAAATGACCTTTGAAAACCTATAAAATATTTAAAAACATTAAAAATCCTTTAAACCCCATGCTAGGCTTTAAATATTAACATTCTTTTGAAAATAAATCACAATGAGTTGCCATATTCACTGATCTGTTTAAAGCATTTGACCATGTAAGTCACACATTATTAATTAACAAACTAGATAAAGATGGCATCAAAAACTCCTTAAAAAACCTCTAAAAGATGTTTAAAAATATTAAAATTACCTTTGAAAACCTATAAAATATTTAAAAACATTAAAAATTCTTTAAACCCCATGCTAGGCTTTAAAGATTAACATTCTTTTGAGAATAAATCACAATGAGTTGCCATATTCACTGATCTGTTTAAAGCATTTGACCATGTAAGTCACACATTATTAATTAACAAACTAGATAAAGATGGCATCAAAAACTCCATAAAAAACCTCTTAAAGATGTTTAAAAATATTAAAATGACCTTTGAAAACCTATAAAATATTTAAAAACATTAAAAATCCTTTAAACCCCATGATAGGCTTTAAAGATTATCATTCTTTTGAAAATAAATCACAATGAGTTGCCATATTCACTGATCTGTTTAAAGCATTTGACCATGTAAGTCACACATTATTAATTAACAAACTAGATAAATATGGCATCAAAAACTCCTTAAAAAACCTCATAAAGATGTTTAAAAATATTAAAATGACCTTGGAAAACCTATAAAATATTTAAAAACATTAAAAATCCTTTAAACCCATGCTGGGCTTTAAAGATTAACATTCTTTTGAAAATAAATCACAATGAGTTGCCATATTCAATGATCTGTTAAAAGCATTTGACCATGTAAGTCGCACATTATTAATTAACAAACTAGATAAAGATGGCATCAAAAACTCCTTAAAAAACCTCATAAAGATGTTTAAAAATATTAAAATGACCTTTGAAAACCTATAAAATATTTAAAAACATTAAAAATCCTTTAAACCCCATGCTAGGCTTTCAAGATTAACATTCTTTTGAAAATAAATCACAATGAGTTGCCATATTCACTGATCTGTTTACAGCATTTGACCATGTAAGTCACACATTATTAATTAACAAACTAGATAAAGATGGCATCAAAAACTCCTTAAAAAACCTATTAAAGATGTTTAAAAATATTAAAATGACCTTTGAAAACCTACAAAATATTTAAAAATGTTAAAAATCCTTTAAACCCCATGCTGGGCTTTAAAGATTAACATTCTTTTGAGAATAAATCACAATGAGTTGCCATATTCACTGATCTGTTTAAAGCATTTGACCATGTAAGTCGCACATTATTAATTGACAAACTAGATAAAGATGGTATCAAAAACACCTTAAAAAACCTCATAAAGATGTTTAAAAATATTAAAATGACCTTTGAAAACCTATAAAATATTTAAAAACATTAAAAATCCTTTAAACCCCATGCTGGGCTTTAAAGATTAACATTCTTTTGAGAATAAATCACAATGAGTTGCCATATTCACTGATCTGTGTAAAGCATTTGACCATGTAAGTCACACTTTATTAATTAACAAACTAGATAAAGATGGCATCAAAAACTTCTTAAAAAACCTCATAAAGATGTTTAAAAATATTAAAATGACCTTTGAAAACCTATAAAATATTTAAAAACATTAAAAATCCTTTAAACCCCATGCTGGGCTTTAAAGATTAACATTCTTTTGAGAATAAATCACAATGAGTTGCCATATTCACTGATCTGTTTAAAGCATTTGACCATGTAAGTCACACATTATTAATTAACAAACTAGATAAAGATGGCATCAAAAACTTCTTAAAAAACCTCATAAAGATGTTTAAAAATATTAAAATGACCTTTTGAAAACCTATAAAATATTTAAAAACATTAAAAATCCTTTAAACCCCATGCTAGGCTTTAAAGATTATCATTCTTTTGAAAATAAATCACAATGAGTTGCCATATTCACTGATCTGTTAAAAGCATTTGACCATGTAAGTCACACATTATTAATTAACAAACTAGATAAAGATGGCATCAAAAACTCCTTAAAAAACCTCATAAAGATGTTTAAAAATATTAAAATGACCTTTGAAAACCTATAAAATATTTAAAAACATTAAAAATCCTTTAAACCCCATGCTAGGCTTTAAAGATTAACATTCTTTTGAGAATAAATCACAATGAGTTGCCATATTCACTGATCTGTTAAAAGATTTGACCATGTAAGTCGCACATTATTAATTAACAAACTAGATAAAGATGGTATCAAAAAACTCTGATTCGCATGTCACTCAGACAAATATGCTTAATATGATACTGGAGTGAAATATAAGATAATCTAAACCAGAACTAGAATAAACAAGTCCCCACTTAGAGGTTGGGATAGGGTCTGAAGTGCCAGATAGATAGAGCTGTAAACATATGGAGCGCTAATAATATATATGCACACAGTGCACTGGAGTAATCAAATAGGTTTAATATGTATAGACATGGCGCTTAAGGTGTTAAAATCCTATTTTATTTTAAATGTTGTATGCTGATGTTTGTAAAATATGGTGTATTTGACTAGTATTCTATTTAGATGTAACTATTTAAGAGTTTAAGTACTGAAGACTATGTAAACTATTCCTATACACTTAAAGCAGATAAACATTAGAATATGGGACATAAACTGATGATAGGAAGTACCTGTAAACATCAGGTTATCAGGTAGTTTTCTTACATTGTTCTGTATTTATATTTATTATTATAACTACTTCTATTTACTTTTTAGTTTAGAACTGACAACAAAAAAATAAATAAATATAAACAAAAGACCTACCTTAAGCATGTTAGGTTATATTCAAATATATAGATTCATAAAAATCAAATTTGATATGCTTTTGAGTCATTTACGTTTCATAAAATTATTTCTGGCTGTAAACTGTGATTATTTATATTATTCTTTTTTATTTGGATTTTCTTTAATTTTGCAATCTGCAATGATGTTGATGTTAAGATAAGAGGGGGTTGGTTTTTAGGTGTTTTCGATAAGTTGTAAGTTTGTTCGTTTTTCGTTTGTTGGAAAAAAAATACGGTAATCGTCAGTCAATGATTTATACTATTAAACAGGATAGTCTAGTCTTCCAAATCTCTTTTCGTAGTGTCCTACTAAATGTCAACTTGTGACGTCACTGCAGAACCTCGCGCTAGGCATTCCAAACAAAATGGTCCGTTTCCTGCAATGAACTGGAGTGGGGTAGAAAGCTAATGTGTATATTGTATCAATAGAACAAGATGCGACTCTATGGGCGCAGCCATTTTTATTTCTCATCTCACTCAGGAGTATTTATAATAACCATTTTCTGTTTCACATTGTTATTGTTCAATCCACAAGCTGGTGGATCAGACAATAACAAAGTGAAATAGAAAATGGTTGTTACAAATACTCCCGAGTGAGATGAAAAATAACCTGTCTTCGCCCATAGAGTCGCATCTCAAGCCTATTGACAAGCATTCTACCCCACTCCAGTTCATTGGTCATAATACCCTCTTATGGCAGTACGCACAGTGTTGTTCCTGGTTGTACAATTGTACAAAAAGTTGTACAATCAGTTATGCGGTTGTACTGTTGTACGCACTTTTGAAAAAAGACAGAAATGTTGTACAATTTGAAATTTCTAAATATTTATGTAAAATTGGGTATATAAAAGGTTTTCATCGCTCAAAAAGTCTACGATTTGTTAAATAGCATGCATTAAAATTAATAAAAAAAATAAAAGTTTAAATTTGGCGCCATTCGCAACCAATCAGTACACCGTTTTACATCAAAAATATATTTTAAACTGGAAAAAAGAAGAATTTTAAGCATGGGAAAGTAGTAGGCCATAGTCTGTCAATAAAAAAGAAGAAGATTAATTAGTGGTTGTACAATCGAAAGTAAAAGTGTACAATTTTGACACTGAAAGTTGTACAATTCAAAAATCCCTAGGAACAACACTGAGTACGCAATGAACCAATGAACTGGAGTGGGGTAGAATGCTTGTCAATAGGCTTGAGATGCGACTCTATGGGCGAAGACAGGTTATTTTTCATCTCACTCAGGAGTATTTATAACAACCATTTATCGCACCTGGGGACCTATTTTCAAACCGTGCGAGTACTCATTTCTCTCAAGATTCTCATCAGAAATGTCATACGTCAATGTGGAAACGCTGTTTTTAAAGGCCTCGAGGATTAAAATTCTTAGGAGGATATTAATTATCTCTAAATAAACCGTGAGAAACAATCAGTGAGTTTACACTGGCCCTTAGGACCCTAAAAATACTGATTTACGTTGACGTATGACATTTCTCTCGAGAGAAATGAATTCTCTCGACTTTGAAAATAGCACCCCTGGAGTGGGGTAGAATGCTTGTCAATAGGCTTGAGATGCGACTCTATGGGCAAAGACAGGTTATTTTTCATCTCACTCGGGAGTATTTATAATAACCATTTTCTATTTCACTTTGTTATTGTCTGATCCACCAGCGTGTGGATTGAACAATAACAATGTGAAACAGAAAATGGTTATTATAAATACTCCCGAGTGAGATGAGAAATAAAAATGGCTGCGCCCATAGAGTCGCATATTGTTATATTGTTCTATTGATACATTATGCACATTGGCTTTCTACCCCATTCCAGTTCATTGGCAGTACGTCACTGGAAACCGAAAACACTTATCAACCATATTCCTTTAGATAACTGTCAAATTTAGAGACCATCGCGATTCCAAGATCGTATAGCATTCCTCCTTTGTGAATATAAATATTCTAAATGCTAAAAAAAAGGATAAAATACTTAAAAAACAATCTTGACCCACACAAATTCTTGAATTGCCGAACTCGGCTATAACGTTTTAATGACAATTAACATTTGACATTTACACAGAGACAAGTGACATTGACATTTCACTTGCCATTTACGGAGGAGTGTAATTTGTCTTAGGTCGATTTATATAATTTTACAATTTTTACTAATTTATAAGAAACTACCCTCAAATGGCAACCCAAAAACTTTCTATGGCTGTAAGTCTCCCAATTTTATCATTCAACATTTTCGCCGTAATCATCAATAATAATTTCATACACATATTACATAACTTTTTATCATTTGCTTTAGGTTCGCAGCTTCAGTTCAAGCAGCACCGCTGCTCAATTAGTAAAAGCCCCCATTCAGATCTTCGGCATCGAAGGTCGATACGCCACGGCCCTTTATTCGGCCGCCTCGAAACAGAAGTCCCTCGAAGGCGTAGAGAAAGATTTGATTAAACTCCAAGGGGAATTAAAATCCGACCCAAAATTCCGCGAATTCGTAATAAATCCGACGATTAAGAGGAGTCTTAAGGCTCAGGCGTTCAAAGCGATCTCTCAAAAGATTTCTTTGAAACCTGAAACTACCAATCTTCTGGCGTTATTGGCTGATAATGGTAGATTGAAGAAACTTGATACTGTGATCAATGCTTTTAAGCAGATCATGTCTGCTCACAGAGGAGAGGTAAGATTAATTCATTTTTTATAAAAGTGTCTTAATTATTAATGAATGTATTATTTTTATATTTCATTTATTTAACTTCTTTTTTTAATTTAATTTATTGCAAATAATATTATTATTACATTACTTCTTTCTATACTAGACTGTCCCACAGGTATTATAACTATGCTAGATTAATAATATTTATTTAACATAATTATTGGTTATAGTTTACAAGTCTGTTAAGTAAACCTACTTGTAAGTTTATTCAAAGGTAAAAAAATGGTCCATATTGTATTAGGTCAATATAAAATGTAATTTAAACAAGTCTATACTTTTAACTTCACTTGTCGGTGAAAAAAATGAAACTAAATATATTAATAGAAATGCAGGTAAATAAAATGACATTTCTAATAAAGGTTAAGCCTTCAAAGTGGATTGTACAATCAGTTTTGTATTCTTTGCGATACTAACAAGAAAGAATTAAAATAAATATAAGATAATGTACTGTTAAAATTATTTTAAAATCATTAAATAAATATTAAGAAAATTTAAGAGCAAAAATAAAATAGAATGGAAAATTCAAAATTATGATTTTTAATTTAAAATATCTAAATAAGTATGTAGTTCTGAGGGAGAGATTCTTTGTAAAAATGTTTCTTGAATATTGTAGAGCTGTTTTTAATTTCTTTGGGTATTAAATTAAATAGTTTTGTAGCTAAATAATGAAATAATATCTTTAATTCAGAAAGAGAAATGATTACCTTTGATACAACTAATTTTTTAAATCTAATCAAGAAAACAGGAATGAAATAATTTTCACAAATGATCGATCCTATTACTGTATATCAAAAATTCATTGAAATATTTACAAATTTAAAAAGTTAGAAGAAGAAAAAAATCTTTATTGGGGATAATCCCAAACTGGAGTCTTTGTGCCCTTTAAAAAGATGTATCAATAAATTTAAAAAAATTAAACCATGGATATTGACTGCCATTATAACTTCTATAAAACACAGAAACAAGATGGAGTAACATACTATTATATTGCAAACTGAATATTATACCATAACTGTTGAAATAAAATAATTGAAGACCTCCCTGGAAAAACGTTGTAACTAACAAACATAAATGTATTTAATGTCAATGATAAAGAAATGGATAATTACTGAAAAACATATTTTTCAAAAGTGAAATAAAATTAATATAAATTACCCAGCTGTCGCATACTTGCTGGCATTAATAATTCCAGTTAACAAAAATGAATTGATTATACACATAAACAGCAGTGATCTTGGAATTGATGGAATAAGTTCGAAATGAATTTAAATCTGTCATTTTTAAGTAAATTGGCAGCATTTGGAAAACTTTTTTATTATAAATTTTAGAAAGAAATATGTATTCATACAAAAGTTTGCATGGTCTAAAACCCAAACTCGACCATCTAATATTAAATTTTATCAGTTGTATACGAGGTTTGTCAAAAAATATGATTTTGCTCAACATATAATATTCCCAGCGAAATTTCAAATAAGTGTGCTCTTCTTCTTTTAATAGTGGTGGTCTTGCACACCAGTAGTTAGGCGTTTAATAAGAAAGAAGAATGGCCCGCTTTCTATTTGTTAATATTCTATTAGTGGATTTAATTTGTTGCACTGGGTGTAAATGTTTTGCACTAATCGCATTTGATTTGTTTAGTGTAGCATCAAATATTTGACAGTAGTACACGTGTAGCATATACTTTTGACAAGTATGACAGTTCGAATACAGTGTCAAGTGTGACACTAGTGCAACAAATAAAATCCACTAGGCGAGTTCGGATAGTCAGGCTGGAGCGGGACAAAAGCGAAGTTTTTTAGGGTGCTTTTAAACGACATTTAAGCTTGTTAAACTGTCACTAATCGGACTAAACCAAACGCTAAAAGGGTCGTTTGGAGTAAAAAGTGTTAAAGGAGTTAAAAGAACGTGGCAAACCGAACGCAATGAATATATGTAATTTTACATTGCGCTCGGTTTGCCACGTTCTTTTAACTCCTTTAACACTTTTTACTCCAAACGACCCTTTTAGCGTTCGGTTTAGTCCGATTAGTGACAGTTTAACACGCTTAAATGTCATTTAAAAGCACCCTAAAAAACTCCGCTTTTGTCCCGCTCCAGCCCCTGACTATCCGAACTCGCCTTTAGTTCTAAGTTTTAAGTCAGTTGTCAATGTCAAGAAAAGAGTTGTTCTTGTGGAGATGAGTTTGATATGTCATGGCGTGAGGTCATTTAGAAATTATAAGTTTTGAATAGAAATATTAGAAGGTACCTGCAGGCCATCCTCACAAATAGTACTTTTATTTTCAACACACCTCGTATACGACTGATAAAATTTTATATCAGATGGTTGCATTTTAGGTTTTAGTCCATGCACAATCTTTTATAAAGAATAACTTTTTTATTATTAATTTCAGGGAAAAAGTTATTATTCATAAAAAGTTTTGCATGGTCTAAAACCCAAAATGCAATCATCTGATATCAAATTTTATTAGTCGTATACGAGGTTCGTCAAAAAATATGATTTTGCTCAACAGTACTTTTGTTTTCAACACACCTCGTATACGACTGATAAAATTTGATATCAGATGGTTGCATTTTAGGTTTTAGTCAATACACAATCTTTTATAAAGAATAACTTTTTTATTAATTTTAGGAAAAAGTTATTCTTCATAAAAAGTTTTGCATTCTCTAAAACCCAAAATGCAACTATCTGATATCAAATATTATCACTAGTAATACCACTAGAGGTCAAATTATTTCCTGATATTAATTTGACCTCGCGTGGTATTCGGTAAGAAAATTCCACGCCGAATTATGGTTGAAAATTAAATATTTTTAAAATTTATTTTTCGTTTCTCAACAATGCAAATTATTTTCTCCAAGTCACCAGTGAGACATAAAAGGTGTTGTCGCCTTGATTGTTGAGTTGTCATGGTAACTAAGTGAGACCCTAACCTCGAATATAATTTCAGTTTTGAAGTTGTCAAGCGGCCCGACGTAAAAAAATGTTTCGCTGCAATTATTTAGGCCTTCAAATTGCTTATTTCTACTCATTGTAGTTGCATGGGAATACCATTTGAAAATAGAAAATAGTATATTTAATTTTACGTAAGTTTTGAATAACTACAAGTGGTAGAAAATTGTTTTTCTGCGTTTTTATTAACATGCGTTATGAGCACTTTAAAATGGTATGAAATTCATAACCAGCGTCAGCAAGCATCAATCGTAGGAGGCTGTGATCATTGTATTTTGACAGTTCAAAACATTAAATAACTCGCGGTTTGTTGCGATAAAGAATATTGCACAGCAAGTAAAACCAACAAAATTACCTATTTGTTTAAAAATGAATCGATTTGAAAATCATACGCTATGCAAAATATGCGTGAAATTGTCTGATGTAATGATCAATCATTGCACCATGACTTACTTACTCGGATTAATAGAGGATTGTGGCTCCAACTTGAAAAACGAAAATTTGTTCCGAATTGTCCACGAATATTTGCACCTAAACTACGCAAAATTCAAAGTGCTGAATGGGAAAAAGGTGAATAAATTAGTGTCTAAATATTATATATATTTTATTAGACATAGACACATAATTCAAAGCATCCAAAGTCCTGCATTTTCGCCATTAAGAAGAAAAGAAGTGGCCGAAGAATATAGAAAACACCTTAGCATTGTAATTAAAATGTATCAAAACTAAACCTATTATGTGAACAAATAAAAACCAGTCTGTCAAAAATGGTCTGTTATTGTAAACGTCAAAAAATTTCCAGTATAATTCGCTGTTGGGTACCCCACGAGAAAAAAATTTCCACTAAAATACCTCCGTTGCCATGGTGATCTGTCAAAAACACGTATTTTGATTGGTTCAAAATTACAGGTGTGGAATTTTCAATCGTATACGATGTTCGTCAAAAAATATGATTTTGCTCAAAGTACTTTTATTTTCAACACAGTTCGTATACGACTGATAAAATTTAATATCAGATGGTTGCATTTTAGGTTTTAGTCAATGCACAATCTTTTATAAAGAATAACTTTTATATTATTAATTTCAGGAAAAAATTATTCTTCATAAAAAGTTTTGCATGGTCTAAAACTCAAAATGCAATCATCTGATATCAAATTTTATTAGTCGTATACGAGGTTCGTCAAAAAATATAATTTTGCTCAACAGTACTTTTATTTTCAACACACCCCATATACGACTGATGAAATTTGATATCAGATGGTTGCATTTTAGGTTTTAGTCCATGCACAACCTTTTATAAAGAATTACTTTTTTATTATTAATTAGGAAAAAACTTATTCTTCATAAAAAGTGTTTCATGATCTAAAACCCAAAATGCTATTATCTGATATTAAATTATATCAGTCGTATACGAGGTTTATCAAAAAATATTACTGCTTGAGAGTAAAATACCTTTATTTTTGACAAATCTCTTATACGACTGATAAGTTTTGATATCAGATGGTTGCATTTTAGGTTTTAGTCCATGCACAACCTTTTATGAAGAATAACTTTTTTATTGTTAATTTTAGGAAATAAGTAATTTTTCAAAAAAAGTTTTGCATTGCCGAAAACCAAAAATGTAACCATCTGATATCAAATTTGATCAGTCGTATACGAGGTTTGTCAAAAAATATGATTTTGCTCAACGGTACTTTTATTTTCAACACACTCCATATACGACTGATGAAATTTGATATCAGATGGTTGCATTTTAGGTTTTAGTCAATGCACAATCTTTTATAAAGAATTACTTTTATATTATTAATTTCAGGAAAAAATTATTCTTCATAAAAAGTTTTGCATGGTCTAAATCCCGAAATGCTGCCATCTGATAAATGTTATCAGTCGTATACGAGCTTTATCAAAAAATATGACTGCTTGAAAGTAAAATACCTTTATATTCGACAAACCTTGTATACGACGATTAGTAAAAAAGTTTCATATGCTGCTGTATGTATACGTAAATATTCTTTTTTTCCTTTATCTTGTTTTCTATTTATTTTCCTCTTACTTCGTTTTCTATTTTCTTCCGTTTTCTTTCTAAGTTTCTTAACTTCTTTAATGATTAATTCTATTTTGTTTTTCTTTCTTCATATTTTCTTTTTATACATTTTGAATTTGTATTTTTTCAGTAACTCCTTTTTCATTAATTTCTATTGTTGTCTTTTTTACTTCTGCATTTATATCTTCAATTTTCCTGTTTACTTCAACCTCTTTCGCTTCTATATCTATTTCTACTTTATTTTTTCATTTACTGTACATCTTTCTTCTATTTTCTATAGTATTTATTTCTATAATTTCTATTAAAATTATTAATAAGTTACCTAGAGATGCCATTATGTGACAATAAACATTAACGAGTCTAGCTCAAGATTAATTGAAAAAGGTGTACCTCAGGGCTCAACTCTTAGACTTCTTCTTTATCTGATATATACAATGGATCTAAATAATAATGCTGTAAACTGTACAATAGATCAATTTGCTGATGATACTCAAATTTATAAGAACTTCTTAGTTAATGAACTGGGTAGTGCTAGTTTAGAGATAAATCAAACTGTCTAAAGTATTTGAGTATTCAGTAAAACATGGGACAAATAAATCCTGCAAAAACTCGAGCAATATGTTTTGGTAATGTTACAAACATCAAGGATTATTAAAATGTAGATTATTATTATTAAAAGCTTCTTCCGCCTCTTTAGTTTCAATACCATCCTGTTGTTCCTTTTATTCGATATTGTTTAAAATTTGTCCTACTTGTTCTAAACGCTCATCCTTTCCTTTTCCCAGCACCACTGTTCACACAATTTTTTTAACACAGCAAATTTTCACTCGTCTATATTCTTAATTTACCGTTTTTCCCCTAATTTAATTTCGACAATGCATCAGATATATTTTTTTTTTGTTAAGGTACCATGTGAAGTAACAACCGCTAGGGAATTAGATGCTGAACAAAAACAAAAATTAATGGGAGTGTTGAAATCCTTCGTAAAATCCAATCAATCTATTCAGTTATCCACCAAAGTCGACCCAAGCATCATTGGAGGTATGGTAGTCAGCATCGCTGATAAATATGTAGATATGTCAGTGGCTAGCAAAATCAAGAAATACACCGAGGTTATTAGCGCTACTGTCTAATTGTATTTAAAGTTTATTATATAAAATATAGTTATTGAAATAGTCTGAATGAAGTTTCATTTTTTTGTGTCTAGAAATTGACAATTGTCATCCGAAATGTCGTCTTAATTTACAGGATTTGTTTTGTTAAATAAATATACGTTTGTCTTATTTTTCTTTTATTTTTATTCTTTACAGCTCTTGTTTTTTAATGAATTTACTTTCCCCCGTAAAGCTGTATTTCAAAATGGCTGTCCTTCAATAACAGTCATCAGAAGATCTAAAATGTGCATAAAAGTAATAAAAAAAACAAAATTTGTAGTAGTTATCTACTTAGCAAATGAATATATAACCTTATTACCTAAAAAATATTCTAGTAAAAGTGAGTATAACAATTTGGCGTCCAACGTGGGGCTTTTAAAAATTTGGGCTAATTAAAGGCAGCAGTACGTAAGTATTTCCTACCCCTATATCCGTCCCGACGCAATACTGTCAGGCGTTGTCCACACAAGGCGACGCTCAACGATGCGATGTACCCAAAATCGATGCTATCATAACGCTACATAAAATTAGAATGTTTAGAGACGAACCTAATGTCTGTATGTATTGTCGAAAAGGTTAACGTAACGTAACATTTGCTTCAAAATAACATAACCCAAAAAACCAGATTGTCATTGGGCATTCACCTGAAAGACAATTAAGTTGGACATCTGTTTTTCGATGGGTGAATTGAGTTATTTCAATAGAAAATATAAAAAAATAATATTTTAGAAATCGTATCGTCTTGAGCTAATTAGGGACACAAATTTACTCAAACCGAGATGGTAAAATTTAATAGTTAGGTATCCAACTGGTGAATTGACAACTGTTTGTTAGCTCAAGGGGACACCTATACCACAATAAATAATAACCAGAAGGATATCTCCGATCACGTGATCTTCGAGGGCTCGTGACCTTCAAGCACGCCTACACCGATATTCTACACAGAAACTTTCAGTGCAGTAGCGACCGGCAGGGGCGGTGGTATCGAAATCGTGAATTTATAATTATTATTCTGTTGTTACTGTTATTTTGCTTAAATATTTTTATCATTGACTATTTTCTGATTTTGTTGTGCTTTAATGAATGTGAGTTATGGAAGAAGACAAAAAAGCTGGATTTGTTCGTAGTTATAGACTGCAAAAATAAATCTTATATCGGTGCACATTCATTTTGCAGATTTCCTCAAGATGTTGAAAGGTAATATAAAGTATAATATATAAGTCAAATACAGGGTGTTTTAAATTAGCTGTTACTTCGGGATAATTTATTGTGTATCTTTAATCTGAGGGAGGGTGGGTTGCCCCTCAGTACTTATAGTCTAAAACGCATATCACAGTCAATGACCCATTCTTAGCTTCACGACGCGCCAAGAGAGGCAAGGGTATAGAAAACGGAATTCCAGTGGCGGATACAATTTCTTTTTGAATAAAATCGTTATGTAGGTATTTGGTAGAAAATTGGCTCGCAAATGAATGCCGCGCCGTTGACACCTATATATATATATATTTTTTTTTCTTCTTTTTATTGTAACTTATTTAGATCTTTTATACCTGTTAATTTTATCAGATATATTTGTAAATGAACTTCGTTTCGTGTAGTAACAATAAATAATAAAACAATTACATTATCCTGACAAGTTTTTTAATTAAGTAAATATAAAAAATTTGTATGTGCTTAAAGGTTAAACCTACTGGTAAACATAAAATTAATAAAGATATTATTTGGAACATTTACAGATTTAGGTAATGGTAAAAAGGTACAGTTACAAAAAATCAGTCTATTTAGTTTTAACGGCGCTCTGTCGTAAAACAGAAATCCTTTCCAACAAAGGAGGATGAGAATGATGCCAAGCCGAATACAAATTATCATTAATCGGGAACCCTAGATTATCTTTGTTCAACTGAAGCAGCGCCCTCTCCAGGGGTTCAGCTTTACCTAATTTTACAGCGAAATGATCAGCTTGGAATTCAAACCGTCTCGACAAACAAGTCATCAGGAAACTGAGCATAGTATTGTAAGGTATCATTACGTAACTACAAACAACGAAAAGACCTACTAATACAGGCCGGACGCTATGGAATCCTAGTGCTTCGTAAAGAGGAGGGTATTTAAACAAAATAGAAAATCCTAGAAATAATAGAAACAAATTAATTTGCATCAGTATCAAATTCTTTATAATATGACTATAACTCCAATGTCCTAATTCGTGCGATAATACTGCTAGAATTTCATCATTTTGACACCCAGTGCCGTCGTCTTTTGCTAATAAAGTGTCGAATAAAACTATTCTCTTTGATTTAAATAAACCATAGAAGTAAGCATTACTGTGTGAAGACCTTTTAGAACCTTCTACAACATACAATTGAGTCAAAGGGAATTTTAGCTGTGAAGCAAGGGATTCTATTTCAGTTCTTAGTTCTCCTTCAGGTAAAGGTGTGTATTTATCGAAAAGAGGGGCTATTACAGCTGGGTAAATAGTTAATAACAGCATAGAAATAATGCATACAACTAACCACAACCATATGAAGAAATATGGTCCACCACTTTTGATTATAACAATGATAACTGAAGATATCATTAGAGTTATAATTTGATTGACTAGGAATGCTTTTATTTTATCCCAAACAAAGAAACCTGCTGTCTGTTTGTTAAAACCGAATTTCTCCTCCAATACGAACGTATGGTAAATCGTTAAAGGTAAATCGATGATAGTAGAAACGAGCGATACAATAAACAACCAAATACAACTGTTGGTAACCTCACCCTTTACTGGATTTATAAAATCAGCATAATCCCAAGCATACGCTAAAAATCCGTAATAAATTATAATAGTAGTAAGTATTATTCCGTGCGTATCTTTGATGAACCCAAATTTGAGTTTCGCCAAAGAATATTGCCTAGCTTTTTCGAATTCGTCTTTATCCATTACTTTTTTAAGAACGTCTGGAACTTCAGTGGCTGCTTTGGCTTTTTTGAACTAAAACAATTTATTATTACGTATATATTTTCTATTTTCACATAAATTAATTTTAAATAAGGGGTTGAAAGATTGAAATGTTTTTTTTACCTGTCTGATTGATAGATAAGTTTCCCATACGAATTCTAACCATAAAAGCACCAGAATTCCGTGGCGAACGCATGTTTCATCAAAAATTTTCCTTAAATTTATCGAATCCATTGTAAATCTGAATTTTTTATGCTATCAAATGGAAAAATCAACCTTTAAAATAAATTGTCTTTTTTAGGTTGTGATGTGACATGTGACAAATAGGAAAATTGGAAAACGTCACCAACATAACGATGTAGTGTCAAAAAATGATTCTTTAATATTGCGACGGAAGTCAGCCATCTTGAGCTACCAACGAAGACTAATTTTTAGTGAATTCAGGTCCGATTCCACCCATAGATAAATTAATATAAAACAAGATGAATTTATTAAATGCCCGCCACTGTCAACACGGCGTAGTTCCCAGCATACTATTAGTTAGCGCCACCATCGCAATAGTATGAAAGCGATGTTGCCGGTTTCCGTACACTTTCATGAGATGATAGTTATTTCAAATTCATTTTATTTTAATTTTTTATCAATCTACATGCGCACCATACCATCCATACAATGTCCATACTATTGCTGAGATTTTTAAAAGACGGGATTGACAACCTTGTAAAAAATGAAAAACGTGATGGCGGAAGGCGAGATATGATAAAATAAAACTTATTTTTATTTTATGATGTAAGTTACATAGGTAGGTAAGTTATTTTTAGGTTAAGAAACAAACGGTGCTGATTTGATGTAATTAGTAAGTATTAACTTTAATTTAATATTAAGTATTTAAGGACTTTGTTTATCATTGTTTTCTTAGCCTTAACGATATATAGGTATCTAATTTCATATTTCAACAATTCCTTTTCTAATATTTGAAACAAAAATGTCTGGCCCGGGTATAGTTAAGTATTCTTGTTCAGCTCCTAATTGTTTAAATAAGTATTATTCTAATATTCAGCAAGTTGGTTATTCAAATAAAGCATTTTTTCATTTTCCTTCTGATGTTAAAGTTCGCCAGAACTGGTTTAAGAATTTAAATTTAACTTTAGATGATAATAATACTCGCTATCTTTGTGAAGATCATTTTTTGCCAGTCTTTTAGTAAGGTTTCCTCTAAACGTAAACGACTAGTTGTACATTCTTTACCAATTTCTTTAGATAATTATGCATCCAGTTCAAATATACAACCCGAGAGCCAGATTTCAGAATATATTGAGGCTGAAGCACAAACACAGCAGCATAAGATAGATTTGCTAATCAGCAACGAAAATCAAGAAATTAGTTGCAAACGTAAACTAAATATTAGTGATGTACAATTTGAACAACCCTCCATACGGAGAAAAACTGTTTTGCAACAAATAAATGAAAGTAAAGTCAAAAATTTAAGTCCCAAAGAGAAAAAGCTGTATTTTATTAATAGAGAACAAAACGTTAGAATTTGTAAGCTAAAGAAAGCTCTACGTGTTTCCAAAAATAAAATCAAGAAAGCCTTTGAATTATCCAAAACTCAGTTATTTTCAGATTTTAATAATAAATTAGATCCGATTGGAATTAAATTCTTTAAAAGTAGTTTAGAAAATTGTAAGAGAAAGAAACCCTCTTGGACCACTCAGAATAAAATTTTTTCTTTAGCATTATATAAAAATGGTCCAAGAGCATATAATTTTTTAAGAAAATGCATTTCGTTGCCTAGTAAATCTACTATCCAACAAATTTTAAGTGATTTACATTTTGAAACGGGGATAAATGATTCAGTGTTTTCCAGATTTAAAGAAATTGTTAGAAAAATGCCAGAAATTGATAGGAATTGTATTTTAATGTTCGACGAAATAGCTCTAACCGAAAAACTCACTTTTGATACAGTTAATGACAAAATTGTTGGATATGTTGACTGCGTCGTTCTCAATCTTCGTCAAATAATTAAAAATAACTTAGTTTTATAAAAATGGTCAACATTTTGATAAGAGAAATTGTTCAATAACATATATGTACACTTTTTGTTTTGTTTTTATAGGAAACACCTGACGCCCATCAAAGTATGGTCCATTTTTACAAGAATGTGGGGAAACTAGTATTCATTTCACTTACAATTGTTCTTTATTAACACATTATGTATGTATTACTGTATAATAAATAATTTAAATATATTTGTCTTATATTTTATTTCAGTGTAAATATTTTTTGTCTACATTTTTGTATACATTTTTTGGGGTTTTATAACTAAAAAAAACTAATATATATGTTAAATACAATATTTTAATATAAATATTAGTTTTTCTTTTTAAAGTAATGAACCCCAAAAAATATAAATAAATAAAGATATTTAAATGAACCGCGGTTACGTTAACACTCTTCTTTTTTTTTATGCCTCTTACTGACAAATCAATCAGCCAGTGTAGTTCAAAAAAGATCCGTTCCATACTAATTCGCAGCACTACGTTTCCAAAGATTAACACAGAATCCGACCATCTTCTTTATTAGTTTATCTATGATTCCACCACAAAGCACATAGAGGTTCCACGTGAATGACCAAGGTCAAAACCGACAACTGACATTTTTTATGCTATTTGCTCCAAACTCTAGATGGGGCTACTGGTGAAATTATGATTTCTTACTCCATTTTTAAGCCTTATGGGAGAAAAACTTAACCAAAGACTCCAAAGATGTGACGTGTATTTATTTATGTTCTTGGTTAGTTTCATTTTTCCGTCTGATTTTAGTGATTTTTTGTTGGCTTTGGCTTTTGGTTTCTGTTTATAGTTTCGTCTTAGTTATTTGCAAAATTGTGATGTTTCGCTTTTTTATTTCCTACTGTGTTTTGCAATAATTTTGGTGCTCCGTTGAAAACTTCGAGAAAAACTTCATTGATTCACCATATATTCACCATGCATCTGCATCATAAAAAGACAAACGGGGACAACTAATTGATAATCAATTTATCACTGGACTAGAATCCGAAATCTGTATCACCATCTGTATTTGGAAGGAAAATACCTATTTATCATTGAATGAATAGTTAAAAGGATTCACCTTTTAATACAATACCTATATTACATTTGTCCTCAGTTAAAAAGACATTTATAAAATATATAACTTTAGTGTTAATAAAATGTAATATCCTAGTCTCTACTTCACATTTAAATTATTGATAGGTATTTTAAAGATTTGAGATTATATATCTATTTGCTCCAAGTAAGTATTCGTTAAATATATTTTATTATTTGTATTTATTTTTATCTAATAATATTTATTTAAGTTATTAATAAACATATTTTAAGAATGTTCTATTTTATTATTTATTGATATATCTTATATTTATTTAATAAAAATATGCAGAACCAACTCTCCACATTAGACCCCTTATAACAAATTAATTCTTCAAATTTGGTATAATCGACCTAAATTATTTTGTAAAATAAAAGTTTCGAACTTACTAGTTCCATACTTTATTTTATAAAATAATTTATGTGGAAATCATTTAAAATTTAATTTAAAACTACTACCTACTTCTAAAAATTACAATTTGAATTTACCGCCATCTGTCAATTGTCATTTTAGTTCCAGCTCCAAACACAAGGTGGCGCTAATTTGGTTTAAAAGTTTAACATTGGCGTGGGGTCTCTAGAAGATACATGCTTTGTGGATTCCACCGTTGTGTTAAACGGATATTAAAATGACATTGTTAATGTAAAAATGTCATTTTAAACTTCGTTTAAAGGCTGTATGTCACGATACTAAATTAAGTACTAAATTTAGAACTAAATTAATGCATTTTTTAAGTACTAAAAAAATTCACGTTGCAAACAGCAAATTTAGTACTAAATTTAGTGCTAAAAAAAATCATTAATTAAGTACTAAAAGTGCGCCGAAATGTTGCGCAGAAGTTTTTCATAGAAAAAGTTGACACGACGGTATTTTCTGTACCCTTTTATTTTTAATTAGCGACAATTTTACATTATCGCCTTGAATAAAGTTCGCTTGTTTGATTTTGTAGGTTTTATTGTGTTTTTTTCGTGGTTTTTATGCTGTATTTGGTTGTTGTCAAGTCAACTAGTGTCAAATTGATAATAAAAACACCATTTACTTGTCTGTTTTACACATAATATTTCATTTCTCTGTTAATTTTACGTATTAATACGTCAATGCGCGTGTGCCTATAGTAAATTTAGTACTAAAAATTGGTATCGTTGCAAACGGAAAAAAAAAGTTTTAGTTCTAAATTTAGTACTAAATTAATAACTTAATTTAGTGCTAAATTTAGTACTTAATTTAGTATCGTGACATACAGCCTTAATACAACGGTGGAATCGGACCTTAGGACCGATTCTTAAGGTCGTTTATCATTCCGTCTCCTTGAATTTCTTTGTTCCATGTCAAAACCGTCTAATTTGAATCGATTAACAATCGATTCCTTTTGACAGTTTGTATTCGCGGGAATGACAATCGTTACATGATGAACAGGTGTTTTTGACAGTTGTCTGTTTACAGTGTTTACCCCCAGCATATTTTTAGTCAAATATTTATTTATGCTATCTATAATAATGCGTGGTTTCCTGTTCTGTTTAATTAAAATAAAAACGCAATAATTCTTAAATGTTATTATCTAATAATTGAGTGAAGTTCCATTCATAAGAAATGTCTAAAAGCCCGGAAAAAGAAACCACCCCGAAATGGCTTCATCCATCAGACGTAATGAAAATGCACAAATTGAAGCAGAAGAAAAAGGCTTTACAAGCTAGAATTAAAGGTAACACTCCAGATTTAAAAAAAATTAATAACACTGCATCAACTAATTTTGAAAACGTGTTCACAAATAAAAAACGCAGCAATCCTTTTATTAAATGCAGCGCCCCGAAAAAACCGAAAATCGAAACGAATTTTTTCCCCGACGAATCAACAGATCAAACTTTATTTAAACTTTTACACCAAAATGACCCATCGCCTAACAATTCTTACACTTCGTTTAGCAACATATTCGGAAAAATCGAGGTAGAAACGGTTGAAATAGTCAAAGCGCAAGGAAAAACTTGGTTACCCATCGATTGGACTTTAAAAGATAAAATTAGATTGATCGCTTCGAAACCTTTTCCTTGGAATCAGAAATTGAAGGTTAGTGAAGAAGCCAGTGGTATTACAGCATTTACTAGATGTTTAGGTGATGAAACTGAGAATAATTTAGATTCGTCACCAAACGCGAAGTTTCATCAATGTTGTTTATATTTTATCCAACCTAATCTACCTTGGTTGCAACTTTTTCCTAGGAATTCCAACAAAGTACAAAGTACCAATGGTGTAGCTGTAAATTCCGGTATGAAAGAAGGCTTGCATCAAGCGTGGTGCGACAGTTTAAGATCCCTCTTTCAATTAGTCAGGACTAGACAGTGCCCGTTCTTTTACGCGTGTGCTAATAACTTTACTGTACTATTTCGTGCGGCTGGAATCAGTGGATTTACAGATATTCACGTACTTGTAACACCGACTACTAGAGGATTCAGACATTTGTTGAAGCAAGAGGAAATTGAGTTCACTATGCCTCTGAAGAATAAAAGAATGTCAGATCAGGGGTATGAGACGTGGGATTCCGCTGTTAGCGAGTCGACGGCTGAAGTGGAGGAAGAAGAAGAAGATGCGCCTGATGAGAGTTGGATGAAAAGTATGGGAATTAATGATGCTGATATTAAGCAAATTAATTACAGTCAGGTGAGGAAATTGTAATTTATTGCAAAGTTATTTATAAACTAAATACCTAAAGACCACAGTACCACCCCCAATATTCGTAACATGAACTAATTTTGATAGATGTCATTTATGTGTCATAAATTAAGACTCCTTTTATTCAGCAGATGGGGAGCAATATTCCATATTTAATAGTTCTTTTGTTCAACAGATGGCGTAATAATTTTATTAATTTTAAACGGTAACTGTTATAAAATAACAAATTCATCAGGCCTATACTCTGTTTTTAAACTAGGAGGAGCGATTAGAAAAGACGCATTTACACAGGGAAAAGTAACTAGATTTATTACTAAGAGCGAGTTTCGAAATATAGTCGTGTTCAAAATTTATGAAATAATTATCTTTGTCGGCCTTAGTCGGTAAACGGCCAATGAGCGGTTAAGAAACGAATAAATGTCATAGAAGTAATTTTTTAATTGGTCCCAGACAACGGTCGCAAATTTCACATTATTGTGATCTGAAATGTGTGTCTGAAACGAAATGTCACTGTCAAATTAAAGTCAATGTGGTTGTTGATTGATGTCAGAAATACTTTTTTCTTGCTTTTGAAATCGACTTTTTGAGAATAACTATGATCTTTTTAAAATGGATATTAAATATTTAAGAAAATTGTTAATGGAATATCCAGATGTAGTCCGGTTAGTATAAAATATAAAGATCTGTTTACATTTTTAAGGATATATTTGTTATAGGTATAAAAAGTAAAAGTTAATCAGTGAATGACAAGTGGATCACACAGTAACTGGTATCTCTTCTATGAGTAATGTGGATATTATGGCTTATTTAGTGTTAACCCATTGTTAATGCGCTAGAGGGCAAATAAAGGCATTCAAAAGTTTACAGGCCTATGAGTCAGAATTTGTTTTGAAAACTGGAACTAACATTTTCATAACACTACATGTCAACATATATTTTTTATAGTGAACTATTCATACATACCTGTATTAATTTTAAGTATTTTTAAAATATTTTTTGTGAAAGTAATGTTAACTCATTGTGCCAAATTAAGATTATCCCTAAAGTAGTAGATGGTGTTTTAAATGTTATAACAATTTTGTAAATAGTTTTATTCTATTTTAATAAATAAAATTTACTTAAATATTTAGTTACATTTTAATCATTTTTGGTTAGAAATTCATCAATTTTTAGTTTTAAAAAATCAGTAATAAAATTATTTTTTTCTAAAATACTTCGGAATTCATCTCTTCATGGTAATCTCCCATCTTTTTACCTTCAAAAACCAATAATGCATTTTCTACAAAACTTTCAGAATCAGCATGTAAAATAATAAGGTGTCTTCCCTTTCTTGTAAGGCTTTTCAGGAATTGCTACCTTTAATAGTACTCAGTGTAGAACGATCCATAATTGTATAGATTTTCAATACAATTGTTTACTGAAGAACTATTATTTACGAAATAAAGTAAAAAACTAAGTAATGGATGAGATATCAAATTATAAAATGTCAGAACTGTCAACAATATCAATTATTAGCTGGAGTGCGTTTAGAAACCCCGCACGGCGCGTCTGGGCCCTATTCTAATGCATGTGGTCAGACGTGCCGTGCGGGGTTTCTAAACGCACTCCAGATGTTCATGCTAAAAAGTAATGTGTGAAACTGACTGTAATCTGACCAATCAGAAGGCTACAGAATTGCCAACTTAAATTCAAATCGCTCCTCTTAGTTTAAAAACAGAGTATAGCTACTACGCGATAATAGGTCTTTTCCTTTGCATCGAAAGTGTAGCACTGAGCTACGTCACTTCTGAAAATATCGTTCCATCCATACAATTTGTATATATGGAACGATATTTTCAGAATTGGTGTAGCCCAGTGCTACACTTTCGATGCAAAGGAAAAGACCTAATAAATAAACGAGTTCTTGACCCTGACAAATATTTTCGATGTAACAGGTATAAAAATAAAAGTTTGGGATTAAATTCCACCGTTGTGTTAAACGGAGTTTAAAATGATATTTTTACATTAACAATGTCATTTTAATTTAATTTATTCTCATTTATATGTAAGTTGGCGGCATCGTCATACGGAAAACGTTTTTAAGAATTTAAAGAAAAAAACTTATTTTTCATAAACAATTGCATGGTCTATTAATTTTAGAAAAAAAGTTACTTTACATAAAAAGTTATGCATGGTCTAAAACCTAAAATTCAATCATCTGATAACAAATTTTATCAGTCGTATACAGTGTTTGTCGAAAATAAAGGTATTTTATATTGAGCAAAATTATATTTTTTGACAAACGTTGTAAAACCGACTGATAAAATTTGATATCGGGTGGTTGCATTTTCTGTTAGACCATGCATACATTTTTATGAAGAATTACTTTTTTTCGTAAAATGAATACCTAATAAAAAAGTTTTCTATTTGCTATCAACTTACATAGACATACTGTGTGTATGCAACTTATGACATATTGCTGAGCTAATGTTTTTGTAAGAAAAAAGAAATTAATCATAAAATTTTACTTCATTTGTAGAGTCGTAATTTATGTTTTCATATTTGTACTTTTTTTTATCAATTTAGAATTACAGTACTATTTTCAATTATTATTTTAGATTAATCAATAAGAAAAATAAGCATTTTTGAAATATTAATAACTAAATACAAATTAAACAACAAATGAATAAAAAAGCATTTAAAACACGTTGACTGTCGAAGCAAATGTTGTGGTCGGGTCTGCTGAGCCGAAGTAGTTTTTCTAAAAATTTAAGTCTGTTTTTACGTTTTAAGAGCAAAGTAGTTTAAGTAAATACTCAAGTAAACTACAATATCTAATAGAAGCGTGAATAAAATATATAAACGCGGCGCGGGATTAAATTATTATATTGTTCAATATTTTAATTTGTGTTGTAGACACGTAAACAATTTCTAAATAAAAGTTATATGAATTTCAAAAATAGGTATTTTAAAGATATTTTTTAGATATAATAGGGTTTTGCGTTTTTGTCTGACAAATAAAACGGTATATTTTTTAAGTAGAAAACCCTGTATTTTACTTCAGTTTTAGAATGTTTTAGTAATACTGTATTTAACCCTAGAATTTTATTAACATATATTGCAGGGTTGCCAATAAATTATTTTTATTATGAAATTAGAGAATGATTCAGACCCCAAATTAAATTATCATTATTTAGGTAGGTTTAAAATAATTTCAAATTTTTTTAAAATGTAGTAATAAGATACTAAGCTAACAAATAGTGATAATAGAACTGGATTATTTTATACAGTGTGTTTTGAAAAACAAGTCTTAAATATGGCTAATTCCAAGTTAAATTTATTTAATTTTTTTCAAATGCATAAAATTCCTTATAAATTAACATATCCAACGATACCAATAAGTTAGTCAATAACACATATACAGGGTGTCCCATTAATGCGTAATTGATCGATAGCAGTTTTATAATAGAAAATACGAAAAAAAATTATTATAAAAGTTGTATGACCATATTTAACAATTATTTATAAATATACAGGGTAATCCATAAACGATTGTCGGACCAAACCTATACATTTTTAAAGCAAAACACCCTGCAGGTAGTTATACATATTTGACTGTTTTCACATCGTCGAACAATAATTTCAATTTTATTCATTTGCTATGTTGTATATAGGGTGTGTCAAAATGGTCACGATTTTCTCAATTTTAGAATGGAACACCCTGTATGTTATGCCACCAATTAATATAATATTCCATTGAAAAAAAATTTAAACATTTGTAACCTCGCGTGTTGACACACCCTATATATAACATAGCAAATGAATGAAGCCAATTAAAATTATTTGACGACGTGAAAACAATCAAATATGTATAACTACCTGCAGGGTGTTTTGATTTAAAAATGTATAGGTTTGGTCAACATCTCGTTTATGGACCACCCTGTATATATAGGAATAATTTTTAAATATGGTCATACAACTTTTATATATTTTTTTTTTCTTATCTCCAATAATAAAACAGCTATCGATCAATTACGCACTGATGTGACACTCTGTATATATGTTATTCTCTAACATGTTAGTATCGTTGGATATGCAAATTTATAAGAAATTGTATGCTAAAATATTATATCAGATGCTGCCTTTGAAAAAATAGAGTAATTTGACTTAAAAGTAACCATATTTAAGACACATGTTTCAAAACACTCGCTATAAAAGAATCCAGCACTATCACTACTATTCGTTATCTTAATGTGCTATAAGTCAGTGTACTAAACAATTTTGAAATCAATGTAATCCTACCTAAATTATGATAATTTAATTTGGGGTCTGCATCATTCTCTAATTTTATAAAAATTTAATTGCTTGGCAGACCTGTAATATTTTTTAAAATTATTCTAGGGTTGAATACAGTATTACCAAACCATTCTAAAATTGAAATAAAATACATGTTCTATTTTAAAAATATGCCAAGCAAAAATGTAACACCCTGTATATATCCAAAAATATTTTAAAAATATGTATTTTTTAAATCCATATAACTTTTCTTTGAAACATGTTTGCGTGTCTTTAACATAAATTAAAATATTGAACAATTACGCACTAATGGGACATACACACGGGTACATACACATAGCAGTCAACGTGTTAACTCAGAAATAAGATTCCTTATAAAGATAAAATAACATTCAGAAGAAGAAAGCAAAGACCGCCAATATTACGTGCGTATCATACAATGATGCCAGGTCATTCGGATTTAATTTACACCGGAATGCAATAAAGTTCCTTCCTTTCCTGCATTTCACAATTGTATATTTCACCCACTTTAAAATCAAATTCGTCCTAGAAAGAATTGTGAAATTATCGTATAAATCGATAATCTGGCAACGTGGTCAACACTTGTTCATACACAGGCAAAATCAATCGATAATTTGGAACCAAACGAGACAAATATATATGAAAATCACGAAACAATAAAAGACAGCATACAGCTGTATCACTGTTTCAAAAATTGGTACCTCTAAACAATCATTTACCTATTAAAACCATCTCTAAAACAGAGTAGCTATATTGTTTTTACGATGACATCTTCTTAAAAATAGATGAACTACATGAACTATACACAATTACAGGAATTCATAGAAAATCTCTAATTTGACAAATAAATTTATCAAATATTTGTTAATCGTATTTCCAGTTAGATTTGAAAAATACGCAATAAAATTTAGAAATATTTTGGCGGGATACTTGGAAAAATATGTAGAATGAAATCTCCTACTTTTTAGCCTCTGGTTTTAAAATCACTTTTTATGATTTTTTTTTTTAAATTCAGATTATTAACCGGACAAATAAAAAATAGGAGATTTCATTCTCCAAACCTTATACTTCAAGCTGGTAGAAGATTCATTTTAATACATTTAGCGGGATTTAAATGCAATAGGAAATGGTGAACCCTTGCTTCTTATATGAAAAATACAGTGATACTGCGGCCTTAAAATATATGCTCAAAGTAAGTTGTATGTCTGATTAATCCTCGGGCGCGCTATGGCACTGAGTACCGCCTTTTCATCTCATTGTCCATATGCTCAAATAACTATATTTGTAAATATCCGATGTCAGGGTTTATAAAATATCACGCAACTTCGTTTGTTTGTTTGTTTGTTCTATTATATTATTTCGTTATTTTAAAAGCAGAAACTCATAACCTTGCAAGAATTTAAGATTTTAACTGAGAAGAATTCGCATACCTCATCCCAGTCTGTTTATAAGATCGTTGAAGTGAAAAAGAGAAAACTTGTAATATATATCTACAATTCTATAAAAAGAACATTATATTACGCCGATTGATACTACATCATGGCGACATATTAGGTCTTTTCCTTTGCATCGAAAGTGTAGCACTGAGCTACGTTACTTCTGAAAATATTGTTCCATCCATACAATTTGTATAAATGGAACGATATTTTCAGAAATGGTGTAGCTCGGTCCTACACTTTCGATGCAAAGGAAAAGACCTGTTGTGTTGATCGAAAACAGCGCGCGAAAATAAATTTAAATTAGCTCATAGCCATTTATTCATATTTCACACCACAATACGTCACGCGCGAACTCGTATCATGTAATATATCTAAAAGTTGACAACAACAAATATATGATTACATTCATTCAACGGCAGCATCATAAAATGCGGATCAATCAAAGGCGGCGAGTAATAAAACATAAGGGTTCTTTTTGAGTTTCAACCAGTACAGGCAGGGCCGCCGATAGCCAGGTCGGGCCCCAGCACAATTTTCCAGATCGGGCCCCGTGATAATTTTATACAAAATTTCTCCTCCTCCTCAAGTCTTCAAACAAACACTCCTCCTCTATGACTCTCTAAAAAAAGAAAAGGGTGGGTTCCCAAGCTAAAACTTCCCCCTCTTGTCTTGTGCCGAATTTCTGAAAGAAAAAAACTCCTCGTCACGGTTGCCGGGTCCCGGGATTTAGTCACGGCTGGCCCCCCTCTTGTCGGCTCTGAGTACAGACCGAAATTATTTTAAATTTTATTTTCTTGATCTTATAGCGTAAGTTACGAATAAAAGCATTCGTAAGTATTATAAAAATTGCAAAATATTATACGTTAAATAATGTAATTTAATATATTTTATATATTTGTATAGAATAAAAAATTAAGTCATCTTCTTTCTTTATTTATTTCAAGTTAAAAAGAAGAAATCTTTCTGCAAAAAATTATCACATCATAACACCAACAAAATCAAGAAAAATTTGTAAGGAAAACTAAATATTTTCTCCACGTTTCTTTCACAGATAAGTCAGAAAACATGTACATTAATATATTATGAAACATTTGTTAAATACATTATTTAAAAGACTGACTTATAGATTTTATTATTTTAGTAGCTTAGTTGATATTCTTGGGACAATGAATTATTTTAGAAAATATATACCCATTATATAAATAATAAATATAATGCTTTAACCTAACTTTTCCTAATCAAACACTTTTTTAAATATACTGAAATATTGCAAATTCTATATTAAAAACAAAATTATCTCATGTAATAAATATTCCCATTTTGCAACATCGAGCAATACTAAATTTCAGATCTATCCTATATGTACCCCTTATTCCGTATCTGTCCAATTTTATTGTTGTCATATTTTTCAATCATTTTTATACCCGAATTTACTTTGCTGATTTAATAATTATGACTTTATATTACGTCCAATTTTAAAAATTATTTTTTGATCTTGTTAAGGAAATGATTTATTACAACTTAATAGCACTTAATATCGTTTAAAGAATAATGCATGTTTGATAATGTTAATTCTCTATTAAAAGTTGCCCTTTTTTTAAAAAAATTAATAAACTTTATAATTTTCTTTTGACGAAACGGGTCATTTTTTCAAAAAAGTATGCTAATCCGGGGCTAGTGCCACTTATTCTCTTTGCACATAAAAAATTTATGGTATTATCTTTAAAATTGTGTCTTCTAGGATTAAACCAAAATGCCTATTTATACAAATGTCTTGCTATTGTCAGCGGTCAGCGGAGTAATAACTCTTAACAATATTACGAAAATCAGTTTTCTTTACTTCGACATATTTTTAAATCCAATGAAAACAATACAGAGTGGAATAAAAATGGCAACTTTCATTAAGATTATTCTGCCATCTATTTTAAACTAGCAAAAGCTCCAGCCGTCTCTAGCTTAAATAGACTCAATTTGTCTGGCCACCTGGCGGTGGTCTCCTTTTGGTATCAAACAAATAAATGCATTGAGCTGACCTACAATGGTAGTATACATTCCTTAGTTCAGTTTCCCAAAATTTCAAATATCTGACTTTTTCGGTTCAAAAAATAAATGGGGGAGGGACTTTAGACCCGCACTGTGCAATTTTTTTGCTGGTATATTAAAGACGTGTATTATTCATATTTTAAATAATCCTGAATTATGTCAATTTTCAATTTCAGGACAGAATGATCCACAAAGCCGAATGCGAAGTAGACAACAGCGAACAAAGTCTAGTCATGATAGAAGGAGTCGAAGTTCACAGTTTCTACAACTTCATTTTAAACTGCAAAAGTTCCACCGCCTTCACCGGACCGTTAGCGGGTATTCCCCCCACGCTTCTCGCTCCAGTAGCCTTCAACGGATCATCACTACAGTCACTGAAAGTCCGGGAAAGCAAAGTAAACAAAGACAACATCAATTTTTATTCGTTAGAGTTATCTGGTCCGATTTTACCGAACATGATACACAATTTGTTCGCTTTGAACCAACCGGAACACAGTTTAACTGCCACTTTTAACAATTTGAAATATACGGAGTGTTTTAGTAAAGTGAAAAACACGGAACGTAGGTCGGTGATTGATAATCGAGGAACTGTAGTTTTCGGTAAGGAAAATTTATCGGATTGCGGTTTGTTACCGCGGGTGCTGAAGCATTTTTGCGCACCGGAGCAGGATTATGTAAGTAACGTAGAGTGTTTGAAGTATACTAGTGAGAATAAAACTTTCACTTGGTCATAAAAGTTTGTAAATATAGTAATTTTAAGTGTTTCAAAGTTGTTACATGTACATATTGAAACTGGTTAATATTTTAACTTTCCTCGAATGCTTTTTGAAAAATAATTATTAATAAAAGGGTTATTAAATTTTGACAACAAGATTAAAGTTATTAAATAATTCATTCATGCAACTCTATTAGTGGCATTCATTATAATGACGTTTCAATCTTTAAGGTTTTACACGCGAGTAAATTTAAAGATATGTAGGAAAGTTTAAATATTTTGTAAGATATTTTTAATTTATTTATATTTTTGTAAATTTTAAGAATAAATAATAATCGATTATAAAAATTGTTTGTTTTTGAAACTTTAAAAAATCTTACAGCACGTCAAGTTTTAGGAAAATGTTATTAGAAAAATATGGAATAAGAAAATGGATGCAACTTAAACTTGAAGGTAAGAGGGATAGTCTAAGAGGCGGTCGGACCACCCTGTATATTTAAGAATAATTGTAATATGGTCATACAACTATTATTTTTTTTTTTTTTTCGTATTTTCTATAATAAAACTGTTATCGACCAATTAAGCACTCATGGGACAACCTATATATGTGCTATTGGCTAACATGTTGATATTGTTGGATAGGTAAATTCATATGGAAATGTATGCTAATATAATTTACAGGATGTAGCATTTGAAGAAATTGAATAAATTTAACTTGAAATTGGCTATATTTATGTTTCAAAACACTCTGTAGAAAATAATCCAATTCTATCGTTATAGACCGTTAGATAGTGAACGATTTAGGTGCCCCATTTTCGCATCCAAGCCTCGAAGAGCGTTGAAAAGTACATCGATGTTGAGTAGAATAGAAGAAAATTTACGTTTTCTTACATTCAATGGGCTTGTGTAGAAAAATCGGGTAAAATCTTGATTTTTCCTTAGAAGATTAAGCGCTTATTTCATTTCTTTAGCCACTTACAACATTAAAGTCTTTGGTTTTCCGAAGCCTAGTTCTATTAATTAATCATATAGTGAACACGGCTTGCGTGGAAATATGCGCAACAAATAACATTTTATGTTAGGGTAAATCGAATTTTCCATGTGTTATCCCCACCCAGACAGCACACCAAATCCTTTGGATATCTACTGAACATCCCAATATCCACTGAATGTCCAGTCCATGGTGGATATCTATTTTATATCCATGAAATGTAATTTATAGACATGCAAATGTCCATAAATAATTATAATTATATAGCAAATTATTAAAAAATTACGCCATTGTACTCGCCATTGTGGCTAATAGTACCGTTGAGATATTTAAAATTAATTTTTTTTAAGGTGTATTCAATATCCCATGGACATCCACTATAAATATATCAAAGTCTAAGCGCGGACGCAAACCATCGTGGATATCTACTAGATGTAATTTTTGATTTTGCTTCCTAAGTATAGATGGCGATACCACTTTCGTATCTACTCATGCTTAACCCGCCGTAATTGAGTTTGATCGACATTGTTTCACAAACAGACTTCATTAGAGACTGAAGTCGAGAAGTTCCATTTATTGCTGAAGATTCCTAATGATGATTTTCTCCTTAGTAGGCAAAATCAAAGGCAGATTGTTGGGAATATTTTTTACGTCTATTTTCTTTCGACGTTATTCAATAACCATTGGTTACTTATGAACCTCTACTAAAAATAATTATAAAATATTTATCTGAATTTCTATATCCTGGGATATAGACGGACATTTGGTTGGATATCCACAAAATATATTCTATGGATATATCTGGGATTTCTTGTATTGTCTGGAGATACTCATTAGATATTTTGCTGAATATCCATAGGATATCTTCTATATTCTGGATATAGACGGACATTTGGATATCCATATTAGTTCCACGGAATATTTCTGATATCCTGTGGATATATTGGATATCCACAAAATATATTCTGTGGATATCTCTGGGACTTGGTGTGTTGTCTGGGCAGGAGCCACTCGTAAATTTTTTTTCATTCTACTTAAAATCGATGTACTTTTCAATCTTCTTCGAAGCTTGTATGCGAAAATGGGGCACCTAAACCTGTACTATCTGACGGTATATTAGTTTAGTATCTTATGTCTGTATTATGAACAATTTTAAAATCATTGTAAACCTACCTAATGATAATTTAATTGGGGGTCAGCATCATTCTCTAATTTCATGGCAACCTTGCAATATTTGTTAATAAAATGCACGAATTGTTTACTTAGATCGATATTAACGGCGAATTTGAGGCATTTCCCATAGAGATGGACAAAAATGGATCAGATTTTTGGAAAGTATGCCTTAAAAACTATAATTTACAATAAAAAACACGTCCTAATATTTGATAGTTTACGTCAAAATGTCAGTAAACGTTAAAAATCGCAGTGTCAACATTCCTTGTAAATGACATTTAACAATTAGGCATTCCAACGACCTGTCCAAAAGGCTACCAGTGGGTAATGACAGTTTAGATATGGCAACCCTGTTGTCAAGTTGTCATTAACAGGGTCAATGATACATATATAGTTATATAGATTGCTCAAAGCTGGTCGTTTACGAGCGGCCATATTGCCTGGCAAATATTTATTAATTTGAATCGGTTTAGCAAAAATGTGCTTTAAAACCAATTATTAGCCTTTAGATATTTAAAAAAAAATAATTGCTTACATTTTTACTTCAAGGTATAAACTTATGTTTATTTTGAAAAATCTATATATTTCATTGACCTTGTCAAATCACCAGGCCTACAGGGTTGCCATAATTTTGCCATATCATAACCCGTCAAAACCCACTGGTAGCCATTCAGTTTGGAATGCCTAATTGGCGGTTATCAATCGGACACCAAGCAAATAATAAGATGGGTGAACGGGGCTCCAGAATTTTTATTTCTTAAATGGAGCATAATCAACCGGATTGACTGATTACCTGCTTCTAAAAATTTGATGTGTCAACACATGACTTTCCTATCTAGTTATTATAGGCCTTTTTCGGTTATTTTGTACAACCTATTGCAGCACCTCTATAAATGTTTGGAGGATAAACTAAATTATATACATTTTCCACATACATCTACCTCGAAACATTTTTCTATAGATATTCATTGAAAACGAAAATACTGAAAAATGTTATTTAGCACTTTTCCAACAATTTTTCCATTAAGGTCCATTTTAGAAAAATCATGTATAAACAAAAATTATAGAGATCGATATCGCAAACCCCCCCAGATGTTCCGACTTTGTCCAAAATCTAATCATTTCACGTCAGGCCGAAATAAAACTTAAGTTTAAAATTGAATGTTTTTTCTTAATCCATTTTTGAGTTTTCTACAAATTTAGAAATTTAGACATTTTCTCAAATATCTCGAAAACGGTCCATTTTAGAGAAATTGTGTATAAAATAAAAATTATAGAGAATAATATTACAAACAACTTTCATTTGAACAATTTTTATAAAAAAATATTTTTTACATTTTGTCAAATTTCTCGAATACAGACCATTTTAGGAAAATTTTATATAGAACAAAAATTATAGATAATATTATAAGAAGAAACTTTTATTTGAAGAATTTTCTTCCCCAAACGTAAATAACAGATATATTCCATAAAATATAAAAATGACCACCCAGAAAATACCCCCCCCCCGACTCTGCCCAAAATCTAATCAGTTTATTGGACACACACACATACCCACACCAACACACACACAGACAGCATCGCGAAAATAGTCAAAACGGATTCAGGGGACCTCAAAACGTAAAAATCCGTCGAAAACTCGAGGTCGAAAAAAATTATGATTCCTATACTTTCCTTATACAGGGTGATTTTTTGAAAAGGATCCACCCTCGATAACTTCGTTCTCGTCTTGATTCAGGTAAAATCCAAAAACAGGTCAATTTTTATCCTTAGGGGGACACATTTTTAGATCACAACTCATTTTGTCGGATCAACCCCATGGCCCTACCAGCCCCCACATCAAAAACCTTCAATAGCAAGGGGGGCCGAGTGACCCCTCGTTAGAAAGGTTTTTGCATTTACTATACGACTATGTAAGAATTATTTCGTTTTGTACAGGGTGGTTCAAGAAAAAAAAAACAAATTGCAATAAATAGATTTACATTTCGCTTTAATTGGTTAATTTTTGGAATAAAAATCGTATTAATTGTTTACAAAACGAGAAGAAACGGATTAGAGTGAAAGGAAGCAAAATCACAACAAGTGCTCAAAATGACCACCATTATTCTCCATGCAGTAGTAAAGGCGGTTGTCTAATTCCTCTCTCACCCGTTGAAAGTTTTCTCTAGGGATTCTTCTGCATGCGTCAGTTATTCGTTGTAGCAACTCCACTAAATCTGCTGGTTGAGTTTTGAAGACAACAGATTTTAGGTGCCCCCAGAAGAAAAAATCTGGTCCTGTCAAATCTGGTGACCGTGGAGGCCATTCTATTGCTCCCCGCCTGCCAATCTAATGATGCGGAATTCTCTGATTCAGCCAGTTCCGAACATTCACAGCGAAGTGAGGTGGGGCTCCATCTTGCTGAAAAAAAAAGCTCATTTTCCTCAAGTACAAGATTTCCATCTTGATCCCGCTGATTTTCAACTTCAACCGTTATCAAGGGATCTATGATATCCTCCAGCAGCTCTAAGTCAAGTCTGATTAATGAAAATCGGACCGACTACCGTATCGCATAGTATTCCTGTCCATACATTTAATTTCTGAGGAGCTTGAGTATGCCCCTCTCTAAAAATGTGAGGATTCTCATCACTCCAATATCGGACATTCTGTTTATTGACTGCGCCATGCAGATAAAAACTACATTCGTCACTAAAGCAAATGTTTTTTTATGAGGTTTGGGTTTGCGTTTATCATTTCCGTCATAATTTCGCAAAACTGTAATCTCCTATCAGGATCATCGTCCACAAGCTCCTGAAGTATCTTCATTTTATAGGGATGGAATTTAAAAAGTTTTGTCACTTTGCGTACCGATGAATACGAAAGTCCAGTGGTCGTAGCAATCTGACGCAAAGAACTGGTTGGATCGAAAGTAAAGTTCCCCACCACTTCAATCTGAGCCATTTCATTAACTATTCTGTTACCTTATCTCTTCATATTTTTCACCGATCCTGTTGCTTGAAACTTCCGCACAAGTTGCGTGACATATTTGTGCTCCATTCGCTTATTTGGATGTCTCGCATTAAAAACTATGACAGTGGCGCGGGCACAATTCTGCTCCTCACCATAAATGAAAATAACTTCTACTCGCTCGGCAATAGTGTAAACCATTTTACAGGGAATAAATCAATTGACATACCAACTGACTGCAAACTACTTGGATTAAACCTAATGCGTCAAAACGGCTTGTAAAGAAGAGCAAAAAAATGCAGATAAAAATGCATACAAAAAGAGCGATAGCGCGATATCACTCATCAACAGTCTTCAAAAACTGAAGCAAAAAATTTAAGTGAATTTACGACAGGAGATAAATTGTTGAATGAGGAAGGATTCCTATTATTCTCAACGGTGGTCATTTTAAGAATCTATTATGATGTATGTAATTTAAGTCTATTTATTGCAATTTGTCTTTTTTCTTGAACCACCCTGTACAAAACGAAATAATTCTTACATGGTCGTATGGTAAATGCAAAAACCTTTCCAACGAGGGGTCACTCGGCCCCCCTTGCTATTGAAGGTTTTTGAGGTGGGAGCTGGTGGGGCCATGGGGTTGATCCGACAAAATCAGTTGTGATCTAAAAATGTCCCCCTAAGGATAAAAATTGACCTATTTTTGGATTTTACCTGAATCAAGACGAGAACGAAGTTATCGAGGGTGGATCCTTTTCAAAAAATCACCTTGTATCTGTATACAGATAGGAAAGTAAAAATGTGAATTGTTTACATAGACATCCACATCCGATGCTTTTTTACATCTCGAGCGTTTGTTTATCCACATCGAACACATCTGTCCCATTACATTTACGTATACTGAATCACGTGATCAAAGATTTACTACATCTCAGATGTGGATATTCAAACGAGCCATATTTATTGTCTAATCGGCTTGGAAATTTGACAGTAGTTTTACGAACAATGGTGTCTATTAAAAAAATGAAAAAAAACTACAAGAATTTTTTTTTGTTTTTAATTGTTTTTTATCAATGGTTATAAGAAAATTCCCGAATTGTTTACTTAAGTCGATAGTAACGGCGAATATTTGTCAAATCTGCTTGATATTTGACAGCAGTTTGAATAATGGCGCATGTAAATAATTGAAAAAGAAATTCCTTAATAAAAGTTGTTTTTCTATTTTTTTTATTTATGATTATGAAAATGAACGAATTGTTTACTTGGATTAATAGTATTGGTGAATGTTTCTCTAACCAGCTTGAAAATTTAACAGCAGTTGTTCGAACAGTGGCGCATATAAAAGAATTTTAAAAAATCCTTGAAAAATTTTATCTTATTTTTTAATTTACGATTAAGAAAATGCACGAATTGTTTACTTAAGTCGATAGTAACGGCGAATATTTGTCAAATCTGCTTGATAATTTGACAGCAGTTTGAATAATGGCGCATGTAAATAATTGAAAAAAAAAAATTCCTTAATAAAAGCTATTTTTCTATTTTTTTTATTTATGATTATGAAAATGAACGAATTGTTTACTTGGATTGATAGTATTGGCGAATGTTTCTCTAACCAGCTTGAAAATTTAACAGCAGTTGTTCGAACAGTGGCGCATATAAAAGAATTTTAAAAAATCCTTGAAAAATTTTATTTTATTTTTTAATTTACGATTAAGAAAATGCACGAATTGTTTACTTAAGTCGATAGTAACGGCGAATATTTGTCAAATCTGCTTGATAATTTGACAGCAGTTTGAATAATGACACATGTAAATAATTGAAAAAAAAATTCCTTAATAAAAGTTGTTTTTCTATCTTTTTTATTTATGATTATGAAAATGAACGAATTGTTTACTTGGATTGATAGTATCGGCGAATGTTTCTCTGACCAGCTTGAAAATTGAACAGCAGTTGTTCGAACAGTGGCGCATATAAAAGAATTAAAAAATCCTTGAAATTTTTTTTTATTTTATAATTGTTTTATTTACGATTAAGAAAATGCACGAATTGTTTACTTAAGTCGATAGTAACGGCGAATATTTGTCAAATCTGCTTGATATTTGACAGCAGTTTGAATAATGGCGCATGTAAATAATTGAAAAAAAAATTCCTTAATAAAAGTTGTTTTTCTATTTTTTTTATTTATGATTATGAAAATGAACGAATTGTTTACTTGGATTGATAGTACCGGCGAATGTTTCTCTAACCAGCTTGAAAATTTAACAGCAGTTGTTCGAACAGTGGCGCATATTAAAGAATTTTAAAAAATTCTTGAAAAATTTTTTTTTGTTTTATTTTATTTATGATTAAGAAAATGCAAGAATTTTTTCTTAGATCGATACTAATAGCAATTGCTTGAAATTTTGACAGCAGTTTGAACAATGGCGCACGTAAAAAATTGAAAAAAAAAATTCCTTGAAAAAAGCTATTTTTCTATTTTTATTTCTTTTTTTTTTTTTTAATTCTTATTATGAAAATGCACGAATTGTTTATTTGTTAACAGCGAATGTTTAACGGCGAATTTGAGGCATTTCTCGTAGATCACATTTTTGGAAAATACGACTTAAATATTATAATTTGCAATAAAAAAACACGTCCTAGTTTTTAACTTTTTTCGTCAAAATGCCAAATAAAAAAAATGTTTTTTAATTTTGTTTCATCGATGAATAACAATACAACACACTTCCGGTATAACGTTAAAGAAATCAATAACACATATTTACCTTTTTTCTGGAGTTTTATTTCAAATCTAAAATAACAATGTACAGATTTACAGGTTTCAGTCTTAACAAATAAATTATACATTTTTTGTTTATATCCAACGATTCATAATAATGCCAATATTCACTTTCTTACAACTATAATAGCTAACCAATGATTTTTATTATTTTTAACTTGGCCACACTATAAATTTTACTACAAAATTGCTAGCTTGAACTCTGTCATTACAAGAAAAATAAAATTCTATATTAACTTTTACCTGTGAAGGCTTATTAATATCACTTAGTAAAAGACGTCTCAAGTTTACTAGTTTTGGATCCAAAGTTGCCCAAATAAGAAAATCAGACAGCAAAGAGCGGACGGAGTGCAGAAGACACAGTAAGTAAAGCAAATACAGAAAAGAGAAGAAAGAAGATAAATAATTTAGAAACTCAGTTTTTTTTGTATCTAGTAATATATTTATAATAAAAAACTATCAAACACTTTAAGAAAAGTGAAAGGTTGAATTTTGATTAGAAATTTTTCATACTTCATTCATTCAAAGATATTTTCTTTGAATTTGATACAAAAGTAGTAAACTTATGAATTCCCGACTATATTTACTTACTTAGTTAATAATTATTACACCTGCAACCATTGGGGTGTGTATTTTTTAAAAACTGCACATAATCTTCGAAAACTTTCACTTTCCTTTCTTCCAGTTCGAGTTTCTTCCTCAACAGCACCATCCTTTCGTCGTGTCTTTTTTGCTTCTGGCTTTTACAAGTCGTGCACCTCTTCCTTTTGGACAGAGGTTCGGATGATTCCTGCAAGTCAGAAGCGGACGATAAATGTAACTGATCGGTTGTTTTTTGTTTATAATCGTTTTTAACTATGAACGAACCGGGTACGTTCTCGTATATATATTTAAATTGGGGATCATTGGAGATGATGTCGTCCAATTCGTTGAAGAACTCGAACTTCCCTTGGGATTTATCGCTGTGCTTGTAAATCCTGTAGGTTCGTAACAGGTTGCGCCATTTTATTTCGCATTTTGTCGGCAATTTTTCTATGCCGATTTTTGCTAGTTCTCGCGATACCAATTTCCAACGATCTTTCTTTATTTTAAAGTTTCTAAACTTATCCTTGTGTAGAGAAAATATGTTTATCAGCGCCAATGTTTCGTTTTGGCTCCATGTTGTGTTGGGTTCTATATTAGTGTCTTCCTCCTTAAAAATCATGTCTGTGTCATCTTCGAGGTCTGAAATGAATAACTGATTTATTTTAAAAACAGGTTACCAACATTAAAAAAAAATCCGCTTTTGCTTTTATTGGAAAAATTAAGTGCTCTACTAGTTTGACAATACTTTATAGAATGTTTCCTTAAAACTAGTCCTTTTGTTCGAATAAATTCGCGATTATTTATTGTGTATACCCTGTATATTATATTTTTGAGTTAGTTGTCAGTTTTTAAATATCTGTCTGTAAATAATATTTTTTAATTCTCCTGCACATCCCAAATAAGGATAAATAAGACCTTAAATTCTAATACCCTTAAGGATTCATGTGTCTATTTCAAAATTCATCAGTTAACGAAAGCTCTCTGCGGTAGATCACCCTGTATATAAAATATATCGTCTTTTAAAAGATGGTCCGAAAGAAATCAAATTCGAATACACAGAGATTAAGAAAAAGAATTGGAGCCATCTATGGTGAAAATGGTTGGGACATTTATTTACGATATTATGTGCATTGTAGAAACGATATAGATAAAGAGGAAAGTGATTAGAAAAAGAAAGCGAAATGAAACAAATGAAAATGTTAACATTTAACTTATCTTCATTGTATATACTTTCTATATTACTTTAATTGAAACAATCCTTTTTTTTTATTTTTCAAATTGATTTTGTATTAGAATCTAAAATGACTATAAAAATATTGATATAGATATTTTGGATGAAAACTGACGAAAAAAAATTTTAGAATCTGTACTTTCTACATGAATACAACCCAAAACTAATGAAGGATTATGTGAAAGAATGTCATAAATATAAAACTAGCAGTTATGTCAGTTTTGAAATATTTAAACTGACAACTCTCTTCACGTCATTAATGTTACAATTATTTGCTAGTCGTTTTGAGTAGTGCAGATTATGATTTGTTCAAATCCGTCACATTTATAATTACATCAGTTTTCTCTAAAAATAAGTCAATACATTATTTTAATAGTTTAATTGTTGATAAATATTTTTATATATTTAGACTTGTTATATTATTGTCTAAAATATTTTTTTATATTAATTATTTGTTCAAAACCGTCACATTTAGAATTACATCACTTTTCTTTAAAAAGAAGTCAACACATTATTTGACATATATCGTTATTTTCCATAATTATTGATAAATATATTTACATTTTTATGTATTTAGACTTGTGACACTATTGTCCAAAATAATTTAATATATGAATTATTGGTTCAACACCGTCACATTTAGAATTACACCGGTTTTCTCTAAAAATAAGTCTACACATTATTTTAATAGCTTAAATAATATTATTTTTAGATGCGTCAGTTTTGTTTAAAAAAAGATTGTTGTACAATAGTTTGTTTTATTTTGACATATATCGTTATTTTCCATAATTATTGATAAATATATTTACATTTTTATGTATTTAGACTTGTGACACTATTGTCCAAAATAATTTAATATATGAATTATTGGTTCAACACCGTCACATTTAGAATTACACCGGTTTTCTTTAAAAATAAGTCTACACATTATTTTAATAGCTTAAATAATAACGTATTATTTTTAGATGCGTCAGTTTTGTTTAAAAAAAGATTTTTGTACAATAGTTGTTTTATTTTGACATATATCGTTTTTTCCCATAATTATTGATAAATATATTAACATTTTTATGTATTTATACTTGTGACACTATTGTGTAAAATATTTTAATATATTAATTCTTTGTTCAAAACCGTCACATTTAGAATTACACCGGTTTTCTCTAAAAATAAGTCAACCCCTTATTTTAGTTTAGAAATTTTTTTTGTATAATAGCATTATTTAATAGCGTAAATAATGTATTATTTTTAGATGCGTCAGTTTTATTTAAAAATAGATTTTTGTACAATAGTTGTTTTATTTTGACTTATATCGTTATTTTCCATAAATATTGATAAATATATTTACATTTTTATGTATTTAGACTTGTGACACTATTGTCCAAAATAATTTAACATATTAATTCTTTGTTTAAAACCGTCATATTTAGAATTACACTTTTCTTTAAACAGAAGTCAACACATTATTTTAATATTATAAATAACGTATTATTTTTAGATGCGCTAGTTTTATTTTGACATATATCGTTATCTTCCATAATTATTGATAAATATTTATACATTTTTATATATTATTTAGACTTGTGACACTATTTATTGTCCAAAATAATTTAATATATAAATTCTTTGTTCAAAACCGTCACATTTAGAATTACACCACTTTTCTTTAAAAAGAAAACACATTATTTTAATATTATAAATAACGTATTGTTTTTAGATGCGCTAGTTTTATTTTGACTTATATCGTTATTTTCCATAATTATTCATAAATATTTTTACATTTTTATATATAATTTAGACTTGCGACATTATTGCTCAAAATAATTTATTATATTCTTTGTTCAAAAATGTTACATTTAGAATTACACTAGTTTTCTTTAAAAAGGAGTTAACACATTTTAATATTATAAATATCGTATTACTTTTAGATGTGTTGGTTTTGTTTAGAAAACATTTTTAATACCTAATAGTTGTTTAAATGTGTTATTTTAACTTATATCGTTATTTTCCATAATTATATAAATATTTGTACATTTTTATATATTATTTAGACTTGTGACACTATTGTCCAAAATAATTTAATACACTATTTCTTTAGAGTTGTCTGAACTAATTTAATTTATTATTTGTTCAAAACCGTAACATTTAGAATTACACCAGTTTTCTCTAAAAAGAAGAACGTATTATTTTTAGATGTGTTGGTTATATTTAGAAATGATTTTTGTATAATGTATAAATGTTTTATTTTGAATTATATCATTATTTTCTATAATTATTAATAGATATTTTTATATTTTTTATAATATTTAGAGTTGTGACACTATTGTCCAAACTAATTTAATTTATTATTTGTTCAAAACCGTAACATTTAGAATTACACCAGTTTTCTCTAAAAAAAAGATCACACATGTTTACTAGTATAAATAACGTATTATTTTGACTTACAACGTTATTTTCCATAAATATTTTTACTTGTGACACTATTGTCCAAAATAATTTATTATATTAATTATTTTTCTTTTAATTGTATAACACAAGAATATATATTTTATTTAGGTAGGTACTTCATGAATTTGAGAGCTTGCAATGATTTTTTTTTGAGAAAAAAACAAGGCTAGATTAAAAGCTGGGTTAAAAATTATGTTATACCTTAAATAATAATATAATTTTCCTGTACAAGACAGTTTTATTGTTAAAAAAATAGGCCGAACGAATATTTTATAAATATACTCATGGAGAAACTAATTTTTAGAGTGTTCTATTTAGGTATATCTATAACTAATACAAGAAATTCAACTATCAAACAGCAGATAATTTAGTTCTAAATCAACAAAGGTTTATAAAAGTAAGACAAGCTTAAAAAGAGGCTAAAAAGAATGGACTGTTGAAACTATTAAGCAAAGCTAAAATTCCCAAGTAGGTACTTTTCTGATTTTTTGTTAAGTAATTGTAATTCATAGTCGTTATCAATGTTATTATTAATATTGTATTTTATCTCTCTATAGGTAAATATAATTTTTTTATCATAAAACCTGAAATGTTTATTTTTTCTTCAACAATGTCACAAGTACAAGCCTTCAAGGGTTTTAGTTGTATGTTTATAAGGACCGATTCCACCGTTGTGTTAAACGAAGTTTAAAATGACATTTTTACATTAACAACGTCATTTTAATCTCCGTTTAACACAACGGTGGAATCGGTCCTAAAAGAAATAACATGGTTATCAATAAGCTATTTTTCATAAAATAGATATTTCAATTTGGATTTTAATTATTTTAAAACGTCTCATCTCGAAATGTGTACTTTTTGAATTGTGAGGGTGTTTTTCCAAGGTAGTGAATATCACAAAGATCATTTTCTTAAAAAATTTTGAATGCGAACCTGTCTATGTAAGCAGGAGTAATTTTTTTGTATTTTTTATGGCTGAATATTGAGTAAAAGTACTATATCTACAAACAAGAATATAAACATATACCTATCCACTTTTATAAGTACTTTTAGTTATGTTAAATCCCGATTATCCATTATTGTGATTATCTGATCAAATTTTCAAAAAGTAATTTGGCGGGTCAGATTTCAAATTGAAATATACATACAGAACGAAGTGGGCACACATTAAAATTGTTAAAACATGAAATTCAACTCACCATCAGCTTGAAGCACTTCCAAATTATCTTCTTCAACAAAAACATTATATCTCCTTTTCTGTACCGGATCAAATACTTCTACGGTTTTTAATTCCATCTGATCTTGATCATCGTCCATATTCTTTTGTTTTCTTGCTGATTCTGATGGAAATTTTAGATTTCTTTCAGATGATTCTGATTAATGTGAGCCGTTTATCAACAAACTTGTTACCAAATGAACTACTCTTGGCATTTCGACTTTAAAAGAGATATAACTATAGGATTTTATTAAAGTAAGACAAGGATGAATACAAGCTTCAAGGACGGACGCTGTTTTAGGGATTTCTGTCATTTCTGTTACCAGCAATTACGGGTGGGTTCAGAAATTTTGAGTTTAAGACGACTTGAACCGAAATTAGGAGTAAAGTGACCATACGTCCCGAGTCCCGATTTAAGCTGGACCAATGACATATATACATTCTATAGAGTGCTCATCTATACGTAAGTAAAACGATGAAAAGCGGGTTGAACTGGGAGATGTTTTCTCTTTGTCTAGTACTTGCAATGTTTGTGTTTTGTCTCAATTGTGAGTGTTCACTGGAAAACAAACCTTTTACAAAACTATATATGTCATTGATTTCAGTTCTGTGGTTGGCAAGCTTGTCGGAAAAACTAGATTGTCAATGTCAACTGGTTGCAAGTTTGCAAGGTTTAGAAGTTAGGTAAACAAATGTTCACAAAAAGTTAATTGTTTTTGTTTATAATCATTATTTAATTTTTAAAACCATGGATTTAAAACAAGAACCATCCGATCCATGTGTAGGGATTGTTAAAACGGAACCAGAAGTTATTTCCCAGCACACAGAAGAAAATGATTGGTGTCCTATAAAACAAGAATTATTTAAAACAGATAATTTTCTTGAATTCGGCGATAATAAATCTACTGAGTGTTTCGTAAATGTTGGTGAAATTAAACAAGAAACAGTCGAATGTGTTGTGCCTAAAATTGAATCTAAACTATCGGATTTGCCAGTAAAAATTGAGTGTAAAAAAGAACTTGATGTGCCGGATCTCGTTGACATTATCGAAATCAAGCAAGAAGTTAGCAATAGTGAATATTTTCAAGTTAAAACTGAGAGAGAACTTTTGACTACTGATATTGATTTGCCCACTTTAAAAAGTGAAAGTGCTGAATGTTCGGACAATTTCGTACAGCCATGCAGCAGTAGGACATTGAAATCGTTAAAAACTGCCACAAATTTTGTTTCTAAGAAGAAGAAGAAGCTGTATCCATGCCTTGTCTGCCAAAAAAGTAAGTGTGTTCTTTAAATATAGATAATTAGGTTTGTTCCAACAAGAATTCAATAGTCTAAATCTGTATATAACCATCAGACTCATGCACAATTTTATTTAAAGTATTCCAACAAACTTCAAACCAAATACTTGTTTGTACAAATATTTTGGTGAATTTTGGATTGGGATCAAACCCTCAGACTTGTTTATAAACTTTTCTAGGATTAGCAGTTTGAGTTTGTGCAAATTGCAGATTAATAATAGCCTTTATTGTCAAAGATTTATAAAATTCTGAGTAAAATCCCTTTACAGAGCAAGTCAATAACTGAGGTAAAATTTGAATATACACAAAACTTTTCTTCTTCTTCTTCTTTTCTTTTTTTGGGACACAAAACTTTTATATTTTTTAAATTTTAATATTGATATTTTAGGCTATTTTATTAATTCAATAAATTTATTTTGGTTGTCATTTGACTGAAGGATGCAATATAAGAAGCACATGGTTGCCAAGTTGTGTATTATTTCTTAAATAAAAGGACTATGTTTTTGATATATTCAAAATTAAATATAAGTTGGAATTAATTTCAATAAAATTATCAATACCTAAGCCTTGCTGATATACGCCGACATTCGAACGGCGGATTTTACTATTAAAATTTTACTAAAAGTTTCTAAACACTTTGAAACACTATACACATAACAATTCTGGGTAAATACCTATTGGGAAAACAGTCCCTTCTTAAATGTTCAATTTGTTTTTACAAAACTTACATTTTAGGCTTTAGGAAGGAGAGTACTTTTAAATATAGCACCAATAACCCCATAAATGAATTAATTTTTTTAATTTACATATTAAGAACTTAAGGATTATTTATGTTAACTTGTTCATAAGAATTATATCTGTCATTACAAATCGCAGTGTTACTAAGTTGCCAATTAAAATCAACAAAAAATAAATATAAAAACTACCTTATTCTTAACATTTCTAAACACTTTTATTAACTTTTATTAATTTATTTCCAGTCATATCCGACGATTTATTTATTCATTTTGATTGAATTGTTGTGGTAAACGATAATTAAATATTAATTACATCATCTATAAAGTAATAAACAATGTACTTTTCGAAAACTTTTAAACATAATTACTTTGTGTTATCCAAAAGTTTTTAAACTTTTTGAAACAAGGGAATTTATTTGATTGAAAAAAAATGACGTCAGCCAGCCAAATTTAAAGAATACTCTATTAACTAAAGAGGATAGCTGAATTATTTCAATTTCTGCTATGTGAGCCGTGACGTTACTCGGTGGATACTTTTTACGGCGTTCAACATTTTTTTATTTTATTTTTAAAATAAAAATATTTCAAATATTCAAAAAATCATTCTGATCCAGAGAGAGATAATTAAACATTTCGCTCTTCTCACCCACCTCCTAATCACTACAGAAGCAAGCGAGCGCTCCCTGCTGACGTTGCGCTTCGCTCGCTCTCTTCTGTAGAGGTTAGGAGATGTATGGGACGAACGTACCTTGCTATTATGATGTAGGTGTAAAAAAAGCGCGCCAGGCCGACGTTTCGAAATTCGCGCGAATTTCGAAACGTCGGCCGGGCGCGCTTGCTTCGCTCGCTCTCTTCTGTCGTGGTTAGGAGATAGATGGAACGAAGGTACCTTGTTCTTATGGTGTAGGCGTAAAATAGCACGCCCAATCGACGTTTCAAAATGCGCGCGAATTTCGAAACGTCTGCCAGGCGCGCTCGCTTCGCTCGCTCTCTTCTGTAATGGTTAGGAGGTGGGTAGGACGAGTGTTCCCTGTGTTCTTATGGTTTATGTGTAAAAAGGGCGCTCGCCCGGCGCTCTCGCTTCGCTCGCTCTAGCTTTTAATATGGTTTTTATAGATTGTCTGTTAGAACAATCAAGCCTATATGAAAGGTATATTTTAGCAATAAGTTTCGCTTGGTAGCTCTAGTTTTAACTAATAATATATTTTATAGATTGTACTATAATTTTGCTCCATAAAAAGTCTCCTTCCTTAAACTTCTTTTGCATCCACTAAGACGCCGTTTTTAATTTTTTAGTTTATTGGGACAGTTAAAGATATATAAAGTTAAAGATATTTAGAAAAAAAACTAGTGATTTTGCTATATGAAACAACAATTTTAGCCAAAGTTTTATACAAAAGAAATAAACTTTATTAAATAAAAAAACTCAAGAGAACATAAAGGGAACAAACAAAAAATATAAAATAAAACCAAATACAAACATAATAATTTTTACATTTCCAAATCTTCTTCATCTTCTTTCCTATCTTCATCATCATTCTGATCCAACTCGTTTATTCGGGGGGGGGGGGGGGGGGGGGGGGGGGGGGCATACAATTTTCCCGCCATTTCAAAAAATTCTGTTGTCCTGTCAACATTTAAATGAGCACACCTTTTATAAAAAATGTACCTTGCAAGATTGCCAGGTACATGTGCTTTCTTTCTGCCATTTGACAGCGTTATAGCTTTGGCTTGTCTCCAAGATGACCCGATCTTCCATCTACAGAAAGTTTTAACGGCTGTTTGTACCGTGGACAAAAAAAGTGCCTTCTTTTGGTATTAACTTCCACTTTTGTAAAAATTTTATCATTTCTAGGTTATTTTCACAAATTTGAAATAATTTTACCAAATTTAACATTTTAAAAGATATAATTTTTACTTTCACAAAATTTAAATGTCAGAAAGTAATTATTAGATATTTTTTGTTTTACTCGGTTCAACTCTGAATAAAAATACCGGCAACACTGTAATTTAAAGGAAAAATCGATTTTCATTCAGAAAATCTAAAGTATGTCCTAATACAAATTAACAAATTAAAACATGATAGGTATTAACTGCGTTAGTTCATCAGCTGATTTTACTTTACAGTTAAAATGGCTTTTTTATGATTATTTCTGTATTTTTTTAATAATTTTATATATAATAATAATTTTATATATAATACATCAAAACAAAAATATCGATTTATAGAATATATCGATTATAAACAATATAATTCTGTCATCGTGTTATCGGATCATTAGTGGTTTATGACCATAGCCCTCAGAAGGTGTAGATACCGCATCGTAAAAACATTTTGACCCCCCATATGATGGGCGCCATGATAAATAAATGTCAATAAATTTTAAGTTGGCACTACTGACAAGACAGAATCGGCGCAAGTTTAGTAATAAGCGTAAGATCGGCGTTCGACGTATATAATCGATTTTATTTTCTGTTGTGTTGTTTATTTTGTTTTTCTAGTAAAGGTTTTATTTAAAACATTATTTTTTAGTTTAGTCGTTTAGTGTTTTATTTTAATAAAAAACGTTTGTGGTTTGGTGTTAAATTTTTTTTCAAAATCTCTTTTTGTTTTGTACGTGAATGTAACAATGCATCTAACGGTAGAAGATACAAGGAAGGAATAACATTTCATGTGTAAATTTTCACAAATATTTGTGTATTTACAAAATCAAATAATTTGTATGTTTACAAAATCAAATAATTTGTATGTTTTGTTGTAGCATACAAAAAAATGTTAGGAAAGAATAACTGATAGTCATAGGAAGACCATTGAATCATTTTGTGACTTTAGTATAAGCCCAGAAAATTTGGGGATACTAGCTGAAACGACAAATGTGTTATTGGCTCCTTGTTAGTGACCTATTGTACAATTTTTCCAACACAAGTTCCATGATCCTTTGAACTTGGCTGCACCGTACTGATGAAGACCAATAGTCAGAAAAACGTCTTTTTTACTTTTTTTTATTTGGAAAATGTCCACTATTACTACCTTGATACAATAATATTAGTTCCGTTCTAAGTAGGTACATATTATAGTTTGTATGTTTTATGTTTTATTTTATTATATGTAATAAATGATAGGAAATATACTTTTATAGTAAATAAATTGTTAAAGCAATTTTTCATATCTATTGTTTATTAATTTGTTTCATTTCTTTCTTATTGAGTAAGTTATTTCATATAAATATGCGATACTTGTAAAATGTAATATTTTCTTTTAAATAGGTATATATTATGTTCGTATAAAATATTGTTCAGTTAATAAAAACAGAAACATTTTGTCTTTTATTCAAAAGAAGTTTGTAAATTTTTCAAAATATATTTACCTACCCCAAAAAAAGATTAATAAAACCAGTTAGTCATATACACATTTTCTATATATTTATAGAGGTACTTTTTAAATAACTTTCAATACATTCGAAATCTGTGGTTTTATTAAAGTCAATGTAACAAATAATAATAGGTATTCTCAAAAATATTTAAAAATAAAATCGAGATGGGACTCTTGTATAATTTAGTGACTATTCGCCTATGGTTAGTGCACTACTGTATGTCCCTGGGTTTTCTACATTAGAACAATACTGCTTCTCCACTCTAGCAGTATTTTTTGCATCTCAGATTATATTTATTAAAAAACCAAGGAATTGTTTTGGGCCTATTGCTGGGCCCTTTTCCAACATTCCCAAAGTTTTTTTTTACTTTCTGCTGATTGGATCTCCGATAGCGACAACTCCATTTGTTGTTCCACTAGTTTTTTTATCAAATTTTTAAAATAACTTCTATAATATTTATCTTTTGCAATGACTTTGCTTACCTGCCTCATAATCTCTTCCCTATGCCCCAATTTCTCTAACAGGTCAGATCTTATACTCGCTCTATTAAATCAAATTATCATTATAGTTTATTTAAAAATGCTTGGTAGCACAGTTTTTATGGCAAAGGTCCATATTTTTATATAATTTTGCTATTATTCATTTTCAAATAAACTATAGGAATAGGAGTAATCTATTAGTTTTTCTAAAATACCTTGTTACCGATGTAAGTATATCTTTCCCTAGTTAAAAAATTCGAGTTTTTATTTTCATAATATAATATAAATAAATGACCGGTTAACAATCACATTCTTTTAAATAGTACATTTGACATTGAAGTAGGTATTTTCTCCATATTGCCAAACAGAAACAGATGGTTTACTTG